TTCGGGACGAATGCTCCACGAAGAAGGGGGCAATGTTACAAATTGCTGTCTACTGATATGTAGATAGAATTCACCTATGTAATAAAGAATGATTTGGTTTGACGTAAACACTTATAGAATGAGTTACGTATCCTTAGCGCGAGATGCTTCCCTTGGTTCGTGAATTACAATCAACGACCCTATAACTAGTATTTAATCATTCTTGATTATAATTGGCTATGTAGTTAAGAAGTTATTGTATTTCCTTCTTGGGTCATATCGTCTGCTTTTGGGAGTATCCACAGTGGTCTGTCATAGGTCTTATGGTGTTTATAATCGACCCGTTATGTTGGATTCGATTTCATATTTTTTCTCGGATGACACAAAATGTTCAAAGTAAGTGATAAAGAATTTAACATATTACACGTCATGGCCTCGAAGAAACAGTCATTAAAAATCAGAAGCAAAAGTTATGTACATGCAATAGTAATAATTTATAATATCTTGATATCAAATTGTTAAACTTCAAAGGAGAACATTTCAAAAGGAGCAGGACTCAATTTCTCCTGAATCGGTCTGTACGCCGTATTGTCACCTTCATAGTTTATTTTTAACCCAACATAATGCGTACTTTTTCTGTCATATTTATAACACAGATAAATTCCAAGATAAACCTGATATGATATCAGCTTTCTAAACTAAGTCGAGAACAAATCTTGTCACACCATCTATGTATCCAGATACTGTAAAAGTGGTAATATTTGCGTGTGGACATTTTTGTGCTAAATTACTAAAGATTTCGCCACATCGACAATTTCCACTTCAACATTTTATTAATCGCAATATCTCCCGAAGGTCAAGGCGAGCTTATGCCGTGGTACGGCGTCTGATTAAACAATTTCTTCTCAATAACTAACCGAGCTAGGATGATGATGTTCGACCAGTACCTGCTTGGATAAAGGTGCTTCCAAGTATGACTTTGACTGAAGGTCACAGGAGTCAAATGTGTAACCAAAATACCCAGGGTGACTATATCTGACCAGTAGAATACTGGAATGAAGGGCTACCAAGTTTGTTTAAATGAATGGCATTGACCCTCTTTCAAGGTCCTAGGGGATAAAATATGTCAAAAATTTCAAACAACATATTTTCAGTAACCAAAAGTTCCAGGGGATAAAATCCGGCCAGTACCATGCTGGGACAAAGTGCTATCTAGTTTGTTCAAACGAATGACCTTGAGGCACTTTCAAATTCACGGGGGTCTAATGTGTTAAAATCTTTGAAACGACTTCTTATTGATAACCAAATGTCTCATGGTCTGCACTGTATGAGTCAAATTATAAATCCAAGAAATGATCTTAAACAGCTCTAGCTCTTGAAAAATATGGAATAAACCAACGGTATCGAGCGCATTTCACGGATACTCCATGATTATTTTATTAATTTAACAAACAAGGGGAAAACATACAAACAGACCGGGATTCAAACCAGGAACATCTAAACTCTAGACGGATGCTGGCAATTGATCAGTCCAGTTCCACTATATTTACTATCCATTTTGCCGTATTTATTAATGTTCTGAGTGCGACCGATAGGGGCTTCCCATATAGAAGAGCTTACTTTACCACCTCTATTGACTCGTGTTTAATCTGTTGTTTCCTGAATATTAAGCACAAGATATTGATATATTAGAATTTTGGACATTATATTTCGTAAAAATCAGTTTATACCAAATGATAATATTTACAAAATGAACCCACGAATATTCGTATATGTTTCTTTACCTGTATCGATTATCAAATTTGCGTTACATCTATGGATTTAAAAAAAAAAACAGCTCCGCACATCATTAGTTTGACCTCATTTTGAATTCTTATTATCTATTTAGTTCCCATTAAAAATGAAATGCATTGAAAAATTAAAGTACAAAAGAGGGCAACTTTAACTCAACAGTAAAGTATAGAAGGCCGGTACGCAATGCCGAATACGGAATGCATAATGCGAAACGCGTATTGTCATATACCAAATTCTTAATGCTATTACTAAATGCGTAATGCAAAATTCTAATGTTTATTTTAGAAGGTCATGTATTTTCGATACCCAAGAGAGATACATTTTTGTGTATATATCAAGAAGCAAGCTTTAAAATAAGATATTTTCCTATGCCTTCTGTTAACAAAATTATGATAAGTTGTTCAACTAGTCCCATTTTTCCTTTCCTTTAAAGATGTGGATTTCAAAGTGAATAGTCAACTGTCAAATTACAAATGCGCAATGCCAAATGTTAAATGTGTAATGCCGATTGCTACTGCTGAAATCCTCATTTCAAAGAAAGGGGAAAACGGAGACCTTTTCCATGAAACAGCCTCAGAAAAACTACGTCTTGAGATAATGTGGTACTACATGTACATCCTGAGTAAATGTGGTATATACATTCTGAGTTAATGTGGTACTACATCTTGAGATAATGTGGTACTACATCCAGAGATAATATGGTACTACGTCCTGAGATAATATGGTACTACATCCTGAGATAATGTGGTACTACGTCCTGAGATAATATGGTACTACGTCCTGAGATAATGTGGTACTACATCCTGATTTAATGTGGCACTACGTCCTGAGACAATGTGGTATATATATCCCGAGATAATGTGGTATATTTGTCCTGAGATAATGTGGTATATTTGTCCTGAGGTAATGTGGTACTACTTCCTGAGATAATGTGGTACTACATCCTGAGATAATGTGGTATATATATCCCGAGATAATGTGGTACTACATCCTGAGATAATGTGGTATATTTGTTTTGAGATAATGTGGTATATTTGTCCTGAGATAATAATGTACTACATCCTGAGATAATGTGGTACTACATCCTGAGATAATATGGTACTACATCCTGAGTTAATGTGGTACTACATCCTGAGTTAATGTGGTTTCTACATCCTGAGATAATATGGTACTACATCCTGAGATAATATGGTACTCCATCCTGAGTTAATGTGGTTTTTACATCCTGAGATGATATGGTATATTTGTCCTGAGATAATGTGGTATATTTGTCCTGATATAATGTGGTATATTTGTCCTGAGATAATGTGGTATATTGTCCTGAGATAATGTGGTATATTTGTCCTGAGATAATGTGGTACTACATCCTGAGTTAATGTGGTTTCTACATCCTGAGATAATGTGGTATATTTGTCCTGCGATAATGTGGTATATTTGTCCTGAGATAATGTGGTGCTACATCCTGAGATAATAGGTACTACATCCTGAGATAATATGGTACTACATCCTGAGTTAATGTGGTACTACATCCTAAGTTAATGTGGTTTCTACATCCCGAGATAATATGGTACTACATCCTGAAATAATATGGTACTACGTCCTGAGATAATGTGGTACTACATCCCGAGATAATGTGGTTTCTACATCCTGAGATAATATGGTACTACATCCTGAGATAATATGGTACTACATCCTGAGTTAATGTGGTTTCTACATCCTGAGATAATATGGTACTACATCCCGAAATAATATGGTACTACATCCTGAAATAATATGGTACTACGTCCTGAGATAATGTGGTACTATATCCCGAGATAATGTGGTTTCTACATCCTGAGCTAATATGGTACTACATCCTGAGATGAGGTGGTACTACATCCTGAGATAATATGGTACTACATCCTGAGTTAATGTGGTTTCTACATCCTGAGATAATATGGTACTACATCACGAGATAATGTGGTACTACATCCTGAGATAATATGGTACTACATCCTGAGATAAGGTGGTACTACATCCTGAGATAATGTGGTATATATATCCCGAGATAATGTGGTACTACATCCTGAGATAATGTGGTATATTTGTCCTGAGATAATGTGGAACTACTTCCTGAGATAATGTGGTACTACATCCTGAGATAATGTGGTATATATATCCCGAGATAATGTGGTACTAAATCCTGAGATAATGTGGTATATTTGTCCTGAGATAATATGGTACTACATCCTGAGTTAATGTGGTACTACGTCCTGAGTTAATGGAGTTTCTACATCCTGAGATAATGTGGTACTACATCATGAGTTAATGTGGTATTACATCCTGAGATAATGTGGTACTACATCCTGAGATAATGTGGTATATATATCCCGAGATAATGTGGTATATTTGTCCTGAGATAATGTGGTATATATGTCCTGAGATAATATGGTACTACATCCTGAGTTAATGTGGTACTACATCCTGAGTTAATGTGGTTTCTACATCCTGAGATAATGTGGTACTACATCCTGAATTAATGTGGTTTCTACATCCTGAGATAATGTGGTACTACATCATGAGATGATGTGGTACTACATCCTAAGTTAATGTGGTTTCTACATCCTGAGATAATGTGGTACTACATCATGAGTTAATGTGGTACTACATCATGAGTTAATGTGGTACTACATCCTGAGATTATGTGGTACTACATCCAGAGATAGTGTGGTACTACATCCTGAGATAATGTGGCACTACATACTGAGATAATATGGTACTACATCCTGAGATAATGTGGCACCACGTCCTGAGATAAAGTGGTACTACATCCTGAGATAATGTGGCACTACGTCCTAAAATAATGTGGCACTACGTCCTGAAATAATGTGGCACTACGTCCTGAAATAATGTGGTACTACGTCCGGAGGTAATGTGGCACTACATACTGAGATAATGTGGCACTACGTCCTGAGATAATGTGGTACTACATGCTGAGATAATGTGGTACTACATCCTGAGATAATGTGGTATATTTCCCTTCCTCCAGCACACACATAAACACACAAGCACGCATGGAGGCACATCCTTAAATTAATCTATAGCTATTTTAATAGGACGTTAAACAAACAAAAAAGACAAGGGGAAAAACAGTACGTTTACTTGATATATTATGCTTAACATTTCTGTGATTGAAAAGAGAGAAATCAGTGAAAACAATGAATAAATATACAAAAACGTTTATAAATTCAAACTTCCGGTAGCTGCGTAGTTTGAGCGCGAATCATATAACTGAAATGCGAATACGGTTTCTGTAACAGGGTCTGCGGATTGCCCATTTCTATGACGTGTCCGGCCTCCAAAACCAGTATGACGTCACAATGTGAGATGGTTTTGAGTCTGTGGGCGATAGTAAGGACGGTACAGTCGGAGAAGCTGTCCCGGATCGTATCCTGTATCTTAGCGTTTGTGGACGTGTCGATGGACGCTGTTGCCTCGTCCAAGACCAGGATCTGAATGAAATTACAATAGTTTAAAGCGGATTCAGGAAAACGGCGTAGCTAAATAGAAATGAAAGAATTTCTATCACCTGTTGTTATGGTAGATATTCTTACCACTTTTCTATGTTAAAGCGTTCTTGATAAGTATATTTTAGTGCTCGGAGATTAAATCCTTGCGGGTAGCTGCGATGTTTTTATGAAGTAATATGTAGATATCTTTCGTTTATAACTCTTTCTTATAGTGAATGGGCTAGCAACCCTAAATCAGAACAAATACCGAACGAAACGGAACTCTTCTTTGTCTTTACATTTAACTTTATCAGGGGAACGACACAATCAGAAATAACCGATAAGTCTTATATATGTGTGTATGGGTTTTCCAATGTAAATACGTTGTTTTTGAAAGAAAACATGTTTTGTTTTCTTTCAGATTCAACGTGTTCTTTGGACGAACTTTTTTCAAGTAGGTGATTATTGACAGAATGGTGTTTTTTCTTATCCTTAAGTATACTTCAGTTTATGTAATGTCCTTATTCACCTTTCAGTCCTGATTTCCTTGAATGTCTTCCTACCTTATTTTGACGTAAGATAGCACGTGCCAAACACATAAGTTGTCTTTCGCCCACGGAGAAATTTTCACCATTTTCCTCGATGTTTAAATCAAGAGTCTGGCCAAGAAGTTTCATCTAAATGAAAAATCAAAATAACTAAACTTACAAAAGTGTAAAGGAAAAATGAATAATTGTTGTATTTCAATGTAAAAACATGTACAGTTTTTGCAATTAATGGTATCTTATTTTACTGATATATACATGTACGTTGTTTTCTCCAGTTTAATATGTTTTGGTATGAAAACAATAGAAACGCATCTATTTCTTTAGAAACACTTACATATACAATGTAGAATATTTCAATTTTTATGTGTTTGTCATTAACGCGAATTGAATTTCTCCCAAAAAATATTGTATCACAGTAATATGTGTTTAGCGGTATTCAGACCTCTACAAATAAACCCCATTTTTTTCTATTTTTTTTTGAAAAAACATAATATAAAATGCATGCCTATTTAGAGAAATATCAATATTTTGTATTAGCAATACTTCATGACCAGCTTTACAGGTGTACTGTATAGGCTATAAAGCTAAAGGTATTACACTCAAAAAACATACCTTTTCCTTCATGTGGACCTGTTCCAGTGCTGCCCACACCATTGCGTCCGTGTATTTGTCAAATGGATCCAGGTTATACCTGTGCAGATAAAATTTAAAATGCAATACAAAACGTTATTCAATAACTACGTAAAATTGAAGTGTATTACACATAATTACAATTAAAGCACTCACCACTGCAGAAAGGGGATTGAGAAAAGAATATACTTGTTACTCACTGCATGTTGTAAGAAGCACTTGATGTAGGAACCCCCTTCACAATTGGGGATTGGCTTTTTGCCCTCACCGTAAGGACGCGAAAGCGATCAATATAAATCGGCTGTATCCATTGCAATATTTGGGATCTTTATATTTCCCCTTTACTTCCAAATACTATTTTTGTTTCCTATCGCCATGCTTGACAATACCTCACTTTTGACCTTAGTGTTGAATGTTTCCCATGTAAAACCGGATCTGATGCCAATAATGTATGCCTAGTTTCAAGGATATTGCTGTGTTGTTGGGTATGATTAGTACGGGATCCCTGTCCCACTACAGTGAAAACATTAAAGAATTTCACGATAGTTTCACGAAAATATACTATCTTCCCCATAATTTCGTTTTGAGTACTTATAGCTCGACTGGGCCAGGGTACAACATTTTGTTCAATGAACCAAGTAGGTCAGTTATTAGGATCGACAGTACAGTCAGCGGAGGAGCAGGTTTCTAACCATGGTCAAATCTGGATCTGTTTCTACACTCACAGCTGTTGGGGTTTTTTTAAACTCATCTGTATAACTTTTCATAAACGTTACCCAAGGTATGGATTTCTGTTCAGAAATAATTTATAAAAGCTGTAGTCATGCCGTGGAAAAAATCTGCAAATGTATAGCAACAGTTTTTTGGCGGTGGTACAGGGATCCTTAAATAAAAATTTAAGACGATATTGATTAAAAATTATTCAAAAACATTCTATGTTGCGAGATCATTATTACGATTTAAAAAAAAAAAAAAAAAAAAAAAAAAAAAGGTTTTNAAAGCGTTTATATGGAAATTCAAAATCGGATCACACATTTGAAACGAAAAGAAAAGAAAACACTACCAATATATCTGAAATGACATCACGTGCTTCCACAACAACTAATGTGAACTAAGGTAACTAGTGATTAAGCATGCTACAACTGGCACCTTGTCAAGATATAACCCTTAAAATAAAAAAGCAATTTGTAGCTCCACGACACTTTAAAAGCCTTCATTCATTAACTTAGTTTTCGTGTATACAGTGACCTCCCTTTATTTCCTCACTGGCGTTGACCAGGTAGCTCAATCGGTTAGAGCGATAGTATAACAATCTGAAGTCCAGGGTTGGAATCACGGTTTAGCCAAGCTGAACTTTTACAAGCAGACATCAGTTGTTAATGATGTTTTTTTTTATTTCATCTATATCACTTTTTGTTCATGGAAGTCCTACAAAGTATTGTTTTCCTTTCGAAAATGATTTTATCAAAGCTATTGTCATACCGGGAAAATGTCAAATGCATAGTAACAGTTTTTTGTTTGTTTGGGTTGTTTTTTTCTGGTTTTTTTCTTTTCTTTTGGAGTGAAACGGGGATCCTTAAGATATTACAACAAGAAAGCTCCAACACACGTTTGTTTTCAGTGAGACTTGCCTTAGTGTACCAGCAAAAAGGACAGGGTCTTGAGGAATCGACGACAATTTTGAACGCAGAAGTTTCCGGGTTATAGTTCCAATTTCAACGTCATCAATGAATATGTGTCCTCCCGATAAATCAGCCAATCCGAACAGCGCAGCAGCTAAGGAAGATTTACCTAGCCAACGAGAGATGTATGTAAGCAATAAAATACATGATGTAGTATTAGGCTAATGACTAGATATAAGGAGTCATTCGGGACAAATGTGGTCAATTTAAAATAAAATAATTTTGCACTAGTTATATCAAGCACAATGTCGTGAAATAAAAAAAATAAAAGAACTACACAGTTGTCTTGTAGATGGTGTTATCATGGAACTGACAAATTGTTATTACGGAGTAGATCCGGATGCAATTCTACAAAATCAATCGCTATGTCCAGTGTATGTTTATACTTAATCGTATGCGGTGTAAAATAAAAGTAAAACGTTTTCCTAATCAAAATATTCACATTTTTTAATTTCTGAATATTTCTCATGAAATGTAAAAAGTTACATATTTTTGACAATCTGCCGAAATAAATAAAAACAAAGAAACTGCAAATGAAGACCTATGAACAATCGCTTAATTATCAATATTGAATTGAAAAACATATATTTGATTCAATACAAAACAAATTATTATTCGTGAAATATCCAATAATAAGCAGATCACATTTCGTATCTTAAGTGAGGAATGTGTGATGGCGAATATATTTGTACATTTGAAGATGTTTACATACCTGTATCTTAAACCATTTAAACTGAGTACGTTCTCAAAGTTCAGAAACGTGTAAAAAAAATGAGTAAGAAGTTATCTCTAGTAAATAACTAAAGCTTCAATTCCTTGTTTAGTCTGCAAAAACATATTTTCAAAATGTGTCTCACCTGCTCCAGTACGGCCGACAATGCCGACTTTTTGTTTAGGAAGGATATCAAAACTAATGTTATGAAGTACGGGATCCATGTCAATGCGATATTTCATCGTCACATTTGAGAACGTTATCCTTCCTTGGCTTGGCCAGTTTTGGTCTACTGTCGAACTCCCAGTTTCCTTCTCTGTTTCGAGGTTCTTAAAAGCAATTGGTATCACTTTAAATGCCATAACATAAAAACAAAAGGACAATATTGGAATTGAATTTCATGATGACGACCGCCAAATGTTAAGTGTATGATGAAGCTCTACGGCAAGAAATGGTTGATATCAGACGCGCAGCTTGCTATACGCTTGTACGCAGGAGAATCACCATATGTCCAAGCAGAAAAAAACACTGCTTGTTGCACCCGCTTGTCCCCCTACCAAGGCCCCGTCCTGGACATGTTCCTAAATGAATCCACTCCGACAAGGGCTACATGTAGCTACACCCCTGGCTACATTGTTTACTGGTAAACATATTGCTAGAAAATCCTAATATTTTAAAAAGAGGACCAGGGATACCAGTTTAAAGATGACATTTCAATTCAATATGAAAAGAAATATGGTACTCCGTATTTTCTTGTGCTTTTGAACAATAAATCACTTATCACTTAGTATTGCTATTTTTTACCGCAGATGCTTCTCATTTCACTAATCATTTGACCCATACACATATCCATTGGTGCTGCAGTGATTGCACTGGCTCCTTTGCGCTTTTAATAATTGATCAGGACATTGGTCATCTTCACTGGTACTCGGGTTAATACCTCCTGGTACACAATCTGTCCTGATTTTGTCATACTTCTCCAATACATGTTTTAACATGGAGAGATCAGGGCTGTGAGTAGGCCAGACCTGACGGTGTTATTGCTTTCTATCATATAATCATGACTGGTCTGTGGTATAGTTGTCCTGCTGGAACGCCGGTTGACGTTGCTATATTGCAGTTTTATTTCACCATTTATGAATAAAAATATTTTCAATGTATCCCAAAAATAAGTATATTCGCTATGGACATTTATTGGAATACCTAAAGGTTAGAAAAGTTAAAATGAAATATGAATATATGCATCTGAAAAATTATCAAATTAAATATATGATAACTATTTCCATTAAGCACCGAGAGTATAAGGAATAAAAGTTAAGGTTTTTTTACCCACCTACATATTTACCAATGTTATGAACATATTTGTTTCCTAATTCTCAGGTCTTTGTTTGATTCTTTGAACAGATATACACAATTGAAGGAATAGAAAATACTAATAATGTATAATGAAATATATCGTCGCGATAAATAGAGGATCGACAATAAGAATTAATTAAATAAATCTAATCAGGATGAAAGTCAAATTAAAGATACGCAATCCCTTCATAATTTCAAAACTTTTTGAAAAGAGAGTATGCATATGCATGCATATCATTCGTAAATGATGAAATATGCTATTTGTATTATGCTAGCATATAGCATGATATCTCTGTATAACAATGTAAATGTAATTTAATTAAATGAAGGACGTGGAGAGCAAAGTTATCAATTGCTTGAGAAAATAGTTACAAAATTACTCATGATTACGTCATATAGAACATAGTAACAAAAGTACTCATGCTTACGTCATATAGGAAATAGTAACAAAAAAACAACTCACGCTTACGTCATATAGGAAATAGTAACAAAAGTACTCATGCTTACGTTATTTAAGGAATGATTTTTATTTTTTCAACATTTATGAGGTCATAACAACAATGGGTTTATGGACATATTGAATGAATCGCGTTAGCGATTCATGTAAAATATGTCCAAAAACCCATTGTTGTTATGACCTCATAAATGTTGAAAAAATAAATATCATTCCTTATATTTACATTGACGAATCCTTTCAGTGGATCGATATAACAACGAATAAAACAAATAAACAGGGTTTGTTCCTGCTTATACACGGGTGCAACGCAGTGGCGAGAACAGTGTTTTTTCGCGGGGAAATGTGACACTATCGTGAGAGATCTTAGCAACCGTCAACAACAATAACACAACAAAATGTAGTTCCATATTCAATGTTTATTTGTAGCACAGGACACGTGAATACGTGGATATTTCACCAAGCACAGTTCAATAATATTTTAAGATGTAAGAATTAAGCATCTAGGTCGGTCGTTCCGAGTGAGTAGTTTTTGTAGTGTATTACTACGCAGTGTGATCAGGTTACTATCAGTTCCCACGTGCTGAGATTCTATGAACACCTGTGTTATGCATTTATGAATGTAATTTTTGTCAATGGGTCTAAGCATACAGAATGTAAATATATAGGAAATAGTAACAAAACAACTCACGCTTACGTCATATAGGAACTAGTAACAAAAATACTCATGCTTACGTCATATATGAAATAGTAACAAAAGTAGTCATTTATACCTCATACTCATGTAAACGTTCAATTGATGTAAATCTGGATTCAACCTCATTTACCAAACGGGCGCAGAACAGGATAAGTGATGTCATCTGAAATTAGGTTAAAAGAAAAAATGTCATACTTACTGGATAGGTATACGTGAGAAAAACGAACCAAAGCATGAACACAATGTTGCATACTCAAAATCACGATACAAGTAAGTTAAAAATAAAACAAAATCGCAATTATTTGATTTAATCATACTCATCATTCGAGCATCAGGTAGGAAAAGCACACATAACTGGCTGGATTTTGTAACGTTAGAGCTTTTTTAAAGTATGGCTTGTTAACTATGCTTCAAATAACATTGGATAGCAATATATGTACATACACATATATTGATGGACATGGTGAGTGACAGTGAAACTTACATTGATGGACATGATGAGTCAAAGAGACACTTACATTAATGGACATAGTGAGTCAAAGAGACACTTACATTGATGGACATAGTGAGTCAAAGAGACACTTACATTGATGGACAATGTGAGTTAAAAGAATCCTACATTGATAGACATGATGAGTCAAAGAGACACTTACATTGATGGACATGATGAGTCAAAGAGACACTTACATTGATGGACATAGTGAGTCAAAGAGACACTTACATTGATGGACATAGTGAGTCAAAGAGACACTTACATTGATGGACAATGTGAGTTAAAAGAATCCTACATTGATAGACATGATGAGTCAAAGAGACACTTACATTGATGGACATGATGAGTCAAAGAGACACTTACATTGATGGACATAGTGAGTCAAAGAGACACTTACATTGATGGACATAGTGAGTCAAAGAGACACTTACATTGATGGACAATGTGAGTTAAAAGAATCCTACATTGATAGACATGATGAGTCAAAGAGACACTTACATTGATGGACATAATGAGTCAAAGAGACACTTACATTGATGGACATAGTGAGTCAAAGAGACACTTACATTGATGGACATAGTGAGTCAAAGAGACACTTACATTGATGGACAATGTGAGTTAAAAGAATCCTACATTGATAGACATGATGAGTCAAAGAGACACTTACATTGATGGACATGATGAGTCAAAGAGACACTTACATTGATGGACATAGTGAGTCAAAGAGACACTTACATTGATGGACATAGTGAGTCAAAGAGACACTTACATTGATGGACAATGTGAGTTAAAAGAATCCTACATTGATAGACATGATGAGTCAAAGAGACACTTACATTGATGGACATAGTGAGTCAAAGAGACACTTACATTGATGGACATAGTGAGTCAAAGAGACACTTACATTGATGGACAATGTGAGTTAAAAGAATCCTACATTGATAGACATGATGAGTCAAAGAGACACTTACATTGATGGACATGATGAGTCAAAGAGACACTTACATTGATGGACATAGTGAGTCAAAGAGACACTTACATTGATGGACATAGTGAGTCAAAGAGACACTTACATTGATGGACAATGTGAGTTAAAAGAATCCTACATTGATAGACATGATGAGTCAAAGAGACACTTACATTGATGGACATAATGAGTCAAAGAGACACTTACATTGATGGACATAGTGAGTCAAAGAGACACTTACATTGATGGACATAGTGAGTCAAAGAGACACTTACATTGATGGACAATGTGAGTTAAAAGAATCCTACATTGATAGACATGATGAGTCAAAGAGACACTTACATTGATGGACATGGTGAGTCAAAGAGACACTTACATTGATGGACATAGTGAGTCAAAGAGACACTTACATTGATGGACATAGTGAGTCAAAGAGACACTTACATTGATGGACAATGTGAGTTAAAAGAATCCTACATTGATAGACATGATGAGTCAAAGAGACACTTACATTGATGGACATAGTGAGTCAAAGAGACACTTACATTGATGGACATAGTGAGTCAAAGAGACACTTACATTGATGGACAATGTGAGTTAAAAGAATCCTACATTGATAGACATGATGAGTCAAAGAGACACTTACATTGATGGACATAGTGAGTCAAAGAGACACTTACATTGATGGACATAGTGAGTCAAAGAGACACTTACATTGATGGACAATGTGAGTTAAAAGAATCCTACATTGATAGACATGATGAGTCAAAGAGACACTTACATTGATGGACATAGTGAGTCAAAGAGACACTTACATTGATGGACATAGTGAGTCAAAGAGACACTTACATTGATGGACAATGTGAGTTAAAAGAATCCTACATTGATAGACATGATGAGTCAAAGAGACACTTACATTGATGGACATAGTGAGTCAAAGAGACACTTACATTGATGGACATAGTGAGTCAAAGAGACACTTACATTGATGGACAATGTGAGTTAAAAGAATCCTACATTGATAGACATGATGAGTCAAAGAGACACTTACATTGATGGACATAGTGAGTCAAAGAGACACTTACATTGATGGACATAGTGAGTCAAAGAGACACTTACATTGATGGACAATGTGAGTTAAAAGAATCCTACATTGATAGACATGATGAGTCAAAGAGACACTTACATTGATGGACATAGTGAGTCAAAGAGACACTTACATTGATGGACATAGTGAGTCAAAGAGACACTTACATTGATGGACAATGTGAGTTAAAAGAATCCTACATTGATAGACATGATGAGTCAAAGAGACACTTACATTGATGGACATAGTGAGTCAAAGAGACACTTACATTGATGGACATAGTGAGTCAAAGAGACACTTACATTGATGGACAATGTGAGTTAAAAGAATCCTACATTGATAGACATGATGAGTCAAAGAGACACTTACATTGATGGACATAGTGAGTCAAAGAGACACTTACATTGATGGACATAATGAGTCAAAGAGACACTTACATTGATGGACATAGTGAGTCAAAGAGACACTTACATTGATGGACATAGTGAGTCAAAGAGACAATTACATTTATGGACAGTGTGAGTCAAAGAGACACTTACATTAATGGACAATGTGAGTTAAAAGAATCCTACATTGATAGACATGGTGAGTCAAAGAGACACTTACATCGGTTGACAATGTGAGTGACAGTGAAACTTACATTAATGGACATAGTGAGTCAAAGAGACACTTACATTGATGGACAATGTGAGTTAAAAGAATCCTACATTGATAGACATGGTGAGTCAAAGAGACACTTACATCGGTGGACAATGTGAGTGACATTGAAACTTACATTGATGGACATTGTGACAGAGAAACCTACCTTCATGGACATGGTTAGTGACAGAGCTGCCAAAGCAGGAGATACGGTTCCTTTGGTGAAGAGTACAATGATAGTTATAATAATTGTCAGTACAGAACCTCCGAAGCCCATTCTCTGGCCCATCCACTTGATGCAGGTTTCATAAAGAAACAGCCCAACTGAAGTGCTGTCCGAGTGCTGCTTACACCTTTAATGGAACATCCAACTACACAGTCATACATATCATGTTTGAACTATTGTCAATGCTTCAGTATCTCATTATCACATAATTGTATCAAATTCATTATCATATTACAATATCATGTATAGTATTATAATTATTTTATAACATATTTTTTCAAATATAACTGATGACATGCTTTTCTTTGTTAAGTTCTCTGTCAAAATAGCGTTAATACTGTACATTCACTCATCACTGCGCGTTACATTCTTTAAAGAATATAATGCAGAAAACTGGAACATTGATGTTAACTTGCGTTCGGTGGTTAGCGACATGAAGTTAAAGTAACAAAAAGTGGCATAATTTTCAAGGCAAAAACGTGTAAAATATGTTCCCACTGTTACTTACCCATTGACAAAGTTATTTTCTTGCGAGAAGGAAACAATAGTATTAAGTCCACTGCATGATGTAGTCACGTGATTTATAAGGGATGACCTTACGACGTTTTCAAGTCGTTTGATATTTCGGATTGACACGGATGCTATATTTTTGATAACATAAAAGTAAAATCCAACGGGAGCAACCGCGACTAGGATCAATGGGAAATTGAAGGCTGCGCTCACAAGAGATGTTGCTATCAAAATCACGACTTGGAGTAGATCATCCATCAGTTGCGGAAGAAATATATCAGCTGCAACACAAAAAGAAATTAAATGATAATATCAAAAGTTTATTAATATTTGGTCATACACATTTTTAATAGATAGAGTATGTTAAAAATTGAATTACACCGCAACATCCAGCTGTTTCATCCTTCTAGGACTTATTGGTGATGGTTCGGGCCAAAAGATTTGAAATCTAAACTTGTCTTTTGAAGCAGTAGGGGAGATGTGTAAAATCCCTGGATTTATGAGTTAATATATGGTCATACAAATCTCGTTATATATACAGTATGCTGAAAACCTAATTTCACTGCAACATCCAGCTGTTTCGTCTTCTAGGATTTATCGGGTGATGGTAGGGACTAAACATTTAGCAATCCAGATTGGTTTATTGAAATAGAAGCGGAGGTACATATAAAGCCTTGATTTATAAATTAAAAATTAAGAGATGCACTGGTTAATTTCAAATTTCTTAGTGAGTGTAGTGAGAATTGAATATATATTTCATACAAGATCAGCAGAAATCAACTGAGGGGGAAATTTACATGTTTATCTTTTTTTTAATATTTTGTTTTTGCAACATTTCTTATAAAATAGTAAAGTCATATTGCATTTGTTTCTATAGATACCAAAGTTTTTTGGGTTTTTTTTACGAGAATTGTTGCTGAAGTCACTTTTTTCTCAAAGATATGACAGTTTTGCCCTGCGCGAAATGGATGTTTCGGCTTAAAATGTTATTGATATACATCGTATATCTATTGGATACTATTTTTTTGTATATACCTGGAATAAGTTCAAATGAAGTAAAGTCATGACCATATCTTCCCTATCTCCTGTCATGTAGTTGAAACGATAATAAAATATCACCAGCAAACAGAAATAAAGAAAACAGTTCAAGGATCACAATAGCTTCTATTCTGATTAATGTACTAACCATCTTCTGTGTCTCGCGAGAATCGGTTTATGATTCTACCCGGTGGATTTGCATCAAAGAACTTCATAGGGGCACTCATCACTCCATCTATGGCCTTGTGGTGTAGGTTTATTGACGCTCTTATCATCACCTGTTTGACACGTGAGATTATAAATTAAATGTTTGCTTATTAAATTTTGGCTGATCATCGTACTTCGATTGTTCCGTTAAACTAATTGAGGATCCTAGTAGTACTGCCATACAAACATGTGACTACGCCTTTGAAAGTTATTTCCTGCATGTCTTTTCATGTAGTTTTGATTAATAAACTGGTCAGCAGAATCTTTATACTATGTAACCAGCGTAGTTTACTAGGCATATATCATCATTGCGAAATGTTGTATTACAAAGGTTACGCATTTGAAAGTATTGATTAAATCGTGATCTTATTTAGCACCTACATGTATGACATGATTGGCCATCAGAACCAGACAAACTTTGTCACAAATTAAAATAGAAGAACACTGTTTCTCCTTTATTTATTTTTGGTATCGAGTATATATCATTTTATCTTTTCATAAGAAGGAATAACTTACCACACCTGCTACTACTGCTTTTAATACAGCTAGTCCAGCAATCATTAGAGTTGTAAATACATAAACAAGCAAATACCAATCCGTTTCCTCTAGTTCTTCCATCGTTTCCCAGGAGACAGTTGTGTTCGGTGTCCGTACTGGGGACGTGGACACATTCTTATGAATTGAGGAATGTATGCCTGTTTCATTGGACTCGGAAATGAGTGGTGCCTGAGCTGTTTTAGTCTGCAAATACAGATTAACTGATTCAATATCAACAATTCAACTCGACAAAACCTGCAATCTTAATCAGAATGATACATGGTCTATTTTCTAATGAATTTGTCAAAAGAATTTTAATGTATAGTGGTTGAGATAGCGGTGGCGATTATGTGTCAATGGCGGCGTTGGTGAGGTGCCAAGGCGGAGGTGGTGGCGCCAGTAGTAACAGTAAGTTTAACATTGATACTAGTATAAATAAGTAGGTCAATAAGTCAAAGTAGTAGTAGAATCAGTGGTAGTACTTGTTGTAGTAGCCGTAAATGTAGTGGTAATGGTGGTGGTAGTTGAATTCGTTGTTTTAAACAATAGAGAATATTCGAAATTCAAAAGCTATGGTATTCAGCAAATAAGTTATTAAGAATGCACTGAATATTAATAAGCTCGTTAATCTGATCGAAAATTGGTCTTTATTTCTTTATAAGATTCAAGTTAAACCTACACTCTTCTCAATCCAAATTCCAAGCCACCATTCACTGAATGCCATCGACGAAATTGAGCATACATATAGCAGGACCACCACAGCTGTTACTATCTTCCCTCCTGCTGCACGAACGTAGCTCAAGTATGTATCCAAACTTATGTTGCCTGCCTTTGACGTCTCCCTGTCTGTCAGAATACCTTGATCATTAAAATTAAAACTTTTTTTATTATAATATATACATAACCTTCATCTAAAAAATGTAATAAAATCTAGTAAACACAGAGTGTCAACAATTGTAGACTAATTGTCTTTTAAAGATATCCGTTTCACTGTCAAAAGTTGCAATTATACATTCGGATTTGTTCAAGCATGATTAAAGCTTTGATCAATCATTTCTGAAAATAAAGCCATACTTTGCGGCAACTTTATGAAACTATATTTACGCTGGAAAACATAAGACTAACCTACAACGGTGTTTTGAGTGTTAAAACCTGACCACTGGTCATTAAACTGTTTCCTAACCAAGGAGCGCTACCGTTATATCCACTACGAAGTTTTGGGGAAGTTATCGTGTAAACGAAAAGCCACAGCTGAATTCTCAAGTGTTTTGCCTGCAGTAGCAGGGGGATTTTTACCTGGTTTTAACTTAGACTTTATTCTGTTATACTTGAAAGCTTCATGCGATACGAATAAGCTAAAACAAACGGAAAGATATAATGAAACCCCAACATGTTTTTCATGGAATTGTCTGTCAAACAAAGAAACGAACATATCATCTACGACCGAAAACATATTTTTGATTATGGCAGCTAGATATATCCCATAGTTGGAAATCAAGTCTTGAAGACGTTTTCAAATTTTGTCATTGTAGACTGAAGCATTTCTGGCAGAAACTCTGACTAAGTAACATATCGATCACCAGAATGAAGTAGCGAATCAATTCTTGTTGGGTGTCAACGTCAGAGTCAGCTTATACTGAATTAAAACTTCAGATCATGGAATTGAATTTTTCTCGTTTGTTGTCATGGTTCGTACGAACGAGACCATAAATGATTAAAGTTAGAATATCTGGCTAACGAAGAGGATCATTCATTAGTATAGAGAATGTTGACGCCATCCCTGACAAAAGACAACTTGTGTATATATTATCAGGATTCTTATAGGAATCGTCAATTTCAATAAAAAAAAATGTTATTGCTCTTCATCAAAATGGTAGTATTGATGCAATATTGAAGAAATACCTCAAAGTACATTAACATAGTTTTAGCCAAGAAGTTCAAAGTGTATTAAAAATAGTTGCCATACATAGTTTTGGACCAATAAGTTCAAAGTGTAATTTATGTGATTTGCTATCAAGCCCTTTTATTGAAAACAATGACCAGGAAAATTAAAGATGAAATTTAAATGGTATATGGTACAAAACTGAAAGTTAAAAAATGGTAAACGGAACAAAAATTAAAAGATTCAATGTTTATGGTATACGGTACAATGTTTGTTTCTATCATGTTTTCGATCAATTGTGAAATCAGAAACAGTCAAATCATCCTTCACCATCACTGGATGTGGTTTTGCGTTGATTAAGCAAGGGATAAATAGAGGGAAACCAGCACAGTTCGTCGACGTGTATTGTTCGATATTACACATTATTAAAAGCAGCAAACAGTGATGATTTCAACACAAACCTTTTTCATAGTTATGGTCATAGCTAGCCATTCCTGCAGACTCGTTCTGCTGCTGATTTTTTGTGATATCGATCGATTTGTCCAAATATACGTCATCACCCTCGAAGATTTTGTCATCTGCAATATAAGAATCTAAATATTAAAGTTAAAACAGCAACGATGATAAGATATACTCATGGGTAACATTTAATTTATGATATACAAATTGTATTTCTAGTAACCTAAACTTTTGTATACAATGATGTTTGTTTTATATGATAAAACGAAATAAGTAAAACACTCAATCAATTCATAAAAAATATAGAGAGCGCTTTATTTGATATCATCTGAAACGAAGATGTTTGGTAGGAAAATTATGTGTTATAATGTACACACATAAGCATATAAATATTCTAAAACAATACAATGTAAAAACAGTACACAATGAAATACCTACACGCAATTTTGAAGTATCTAGTTAAAAAGACATGGATTTTAAGGCTTTTTGGAAGAACCTAGATTGAGGTTTGGATGCTGATTGTTAACACGGCGATTTCAGTAAGGGTCAATTGTTCTTTTTTGGAGCAGTGAGTAACGATTTCTTTTGTTTTTTGAGCAGTGTGTAAGGGATCACACGAAGACCTGATAAGTCTTGTTGGCACAAACGCCGTCAAAAGTTATAAAAGAATCATGTATCGGGGAATATCCGTGAAGGGCTTTGGAAACGCACACAAGAAACTATATTGTGTTCACTGCTATTCTACTGGTAGTTAGCCTTCCGTGGATGTATAAGAAAATTGTATTTTTCATTCACTGGAGGCTGAATAACTTAGCTTTCAGTCATGACAGGCACTATATAATAATCCCATATTTAGAATTCATGTGGTGATGATGACGTAAATGCTTGTTAAGGTTGGTCGAAACCTCTCCGACCCTCCACCTCCAAAATTTGATTTCGTTTTCAGACGATGATCTTTAAAGACAATATGATAGATAGCTTTATTTGGTAAAACATTGCATGAATACATAAAAGTCCAGTACATGAACAATATAATACATGTTTTACCAGGATAACTTCGACTTATTTCCACTGTGGTCCTTGGCATGAAACATATCATACGAACATTTTACATATTTTGACCTAAAATTACTAATCACAAGATCATACATGGTCAAGAGTTATCACAGGTTCATATCATATTTATCATATTTCATACATATTTTTGGTGTTATCACAAGTTCGAATTCAATTTATTAAAACACTAAATTTCAGAATAAAATGTAATGTGAGGCGTGGAATGTGGGGCGTAAATTAACTACCAATCTAAACATCTTTACTGATGAGCTTTGTTGTTACCGAATCAAGTAAAAATGTATACTCGAAATTGGAACAGGTTGTTATCTTATTACTGAGAAATAAACGGGGATACATTATCTTAAAGTTATATTATAAACAGGGATACATTACCTTAAAGTTATATTATAAACGGGGATGCATTACCTTAAAGTTATGTTATAAACGGGGATATATTACCTTAAAGTTATATTATAAACGGGGATACATTACCTTAAAGTTATAAAATAAACGGAGATACATTATTTAAAGTTATATTACAAACAGAGATACATTACCTTAAAGTTATATTATAAACGGGCATACATTACCTTAAAATTATGTTATAAACGGGGATATATTACCTTTATATCATAAATTGGGATACATTACCTTAGAGTTATATTATAAACGGGGATACATTACCTTAAAGTTGTATTATAAACGGGGATACATTACCTTAGAGTTATGTTATAAACGGGGATATATTACCTTAAAGTTATATTATAAACGGGGATACATTACCTTAGAGTTATATTATAAACGGGGATACATTACCTTAAAGTTATATTATAAACGGGGATACATTACCTTAGAGTTATATTATAAATAGGGATATATTACCTTAAAGTTATATTATAAACAGGGATACATTACCTTAAAGTTATATTATAAACGGGGATACATTACCTTAAAGTTATATTATAAACGGGGATACATTACCTTAGAGTTATATTATAAACGGGGATACATTACCTTAAAGTTATAAAATAAACGGAAATACATTATTTAAAGTGATATTACAAACAGAGATACATTACCTTAAAGTTATAATATAAACGGGGATACATTACAGTAAAGTTATAATATAAACGGGGATACATTACCTTAAAGTTATATTATTAACGGGGATACATTACCTTAAAGCAATATCATAAACGACAACATTACTTTTATATTATAAACGGGGATACATTACCTTAAAGTTGTATTATAAACGGGGATACATTACCTTAATATTATAAACGGGGATACATTACCTTAAAGTTATGATATAAACAGGGATACATTATTTTAAGTTATATTATAAACAGAGATACATTACCTTGAAGTTAGAATATAAACGTGGATACATTACATGTACCTTTAAGTAATATCATAAACGATAATACATTATTTTTATATCATAAACGGGGATATATTACTTTTATTACTTGTTTTGTTGTTGTGTTTGTTGTTGTTGTTGTTGTTGAATTGCTTCATTAACTTGGTGTAATGTCCCTCCTTGGCCAACAACGACTCATGAGTTCCATGTTCGCTTATTTCACCATCGTCCATAACGTAAATTTCGTCACAGTGTTTTAAATACTGAAAAATATAATAATGAATTAAGCACTAAGTATTCTTTGGAATTAGGAGAATAATTGCTTCGAAACATAGTTAAGTATGAGTTTGAATCCGAATCTATGTTTGTTTTTGTTTGTCTATGTTTTGCTGGACACACTAGTTTATTGAAAAATAGTAACATATGCTTTTCATTTTACCATAAATGTAGCACGACTATAGAATAATTTAAACCCAAAGTAATTCAACTGAAAGTAAAAGCAGAGAAACATCTGGAAAAAGCTAACAGCATTTTTTTAATTCTATAAAGTAATATAACGTTTTGACATAATTCGCATGTTGCTTCAAATATTGTAAGCAAAACTTTAAATTCAAAAATAGGATTTAAATAGTTTTTGGCCGATAATAGAGCATATTTAGGATATTTTATGACAGCCATATCAATTACACTGCACTACCGATTTAAATATAAAATCTTAAACCTTGCTTAGACATTGTCCTGATCATCAAAACATCATACAGTTATATTTCGCTGGTTGTGCTATACATGTATGAACCTGTACTACCAAATTTGTCTTTGAATGTTATTTTGGCAGTCAACTAAATATCATAATTGCACATAAGCGTGTTTTTATTTTATTCTTTCAATTTTATGAACTTTGAGCAAATACATCTCACTAATTATTTTTATAAGATTCATTTCTTTTACTGGAAGGACGGCAATTAATGTAAACAAGAGGAAATGAGTTTTGGTTATGAATATTCATCAAAAGGCAGTTGCGCGAAAAAAGTGAAAAAGGCAGATCAAATTTTAAAGTGAATACGTTTCATCTGAATGCTAGGTTTAAAAAGTATTTACTGCACAATGTGTGTTTCCCCAATAAAAAAAAAAGAAAAAAAAAACGTTTCCCATAATTGAGTCTTATTTTAGATCATTTTAGATTATTAAAAACACTTTTTGTATATTTAATGCATTTTGATGATATATAGAAATAAACCACACCCAGTGTTACTATGACATTGACTATCACTTCATACAAACTTGACACTTACTGGTTTATTGAGAAGATGCCTATCTAATATGTTGTTTTGCATTGATCGGATATAACCATAATATTCACCTGGAGTTGATGAGTTACCAAAACAACGGTTTTGTCCTTCAAAACAGTATCAATACATTTGTGGAACAAATGCTGCCCAATATGGACATCAACGGCGGACAGTGGGTCGTCAAGGAGATAGATGTCGCGTTTACTGTAGACAGCGCGTGCCACGCACACGCGCTGTTTCTGACCACCACTTAGGTTTATTCCTTTATCACCAATCTGAAATGAGGCAGTTTTCTTAGAACATGCATGCTTTTTCCCAACGTCTACCATGAATCTATTCAAAGGACCTGTTACAGGAACAAAATAATTTTGCCCACAAAGCAAGTTTACTATTACTGGGTTATATTTGTAACTCCCTAAGACACGACCCATGAGATAATTTTTTTAAATTAAAAAGGTCCCCAGGGCCTGTGCTATGAACTATTTAGTGCCGCCTTCCAAAGGTGTACGACTGGGTTCACTTTTTTGTCCAAAAAACTATCAAAACAATGGTTTACGCTACCAAATAATATTATATTATTTAAAATAGGATCTGCGGCAAATTATGAACTCAAATATGTAACAAAACATTGCATAATAAAAAAGTTATTAAATCTTAAACTCTAAAAATGTTGGTATTTCCATACACTTTTTTGCGACATCAATTGTTTTACGGAAGTAAAACACCAATTTCCGGTTCTTGTACACCAAAAATCTTTTAATATTATTTGGTGCTTTATGTTGAGATACGATAGTGAAAATTTCAGAAAATTTCAGAACCGGTAAATTTGTCATATAAATGTCAAATTGTAGCAACGTCTATTTCCAAATAAAATCCAACAACCTTATGACCTATAGTCATGTTTGATAATTTAACAATACGTCGCACCAATTTATTATCGCAACTGATCAAATTTTCATCAATAAGGTCTGCTGCTCATGATGGGCCCAACTATAAAGCTAGATTTTTGTACACCAACATACTTTGGATATTATTTGGCACATTATGCTGACTGACGATAGTAGAAACTTCGAAAAAATCGGTACCCGGTAAATGTGTCATCTTAACGATAATATGTTGTACGACCAATGTCAAAATAAATCTTCAATAACTACAGGTCATCAGCTGAAGCTGGCACCTGGCTATATCACAGAACATCAGACAGATGGGGGTGATTATGAGATATGGGTGTACCAACATGCTGATGACCTTCTGTGAGGCCAATTACATTCTCGCCACAGGTCGCAGGCAAAATACAATGTCTGGATAGAGTTTGACCTACACGCGTCAGAGGATCCTGTCAAGGCATACTATTGTGTGTGTCCTGCAGGAAAGACTCATGTCGCATCAATACTGTATTATCTAGGATACTATGCACATTTAACAGATACAAAAACGCTCCAGCCTAAAGCTCGCAAATTCAGAGATTGCATATTATGAATGCATTCAAAAAAGAAACATTATTCAATTATAGCCTTTGGCTGAGGTCGATACCTGGATTAATNACAAATTCAGAGATTGCATATTATGAATGCGTCCGAGGTCAATATATCTTTTCTCAGGTTGATAAATCCAGGTATTGACCGAAGTTAAAGGCTACAATTTTTTTTATTATTTTACAAAACAATAATGCAAGCAATCTGAAAAAAAAGGGAAAAAAAAGATTCGGAAGTGGGATGGTGCATTGTTTGGAGACACGTCATAATTCTATTTTTATAAACACCCAGTCCTTCAACAAAAATCAAGCGCTCCAAGTCAATATCAGTTTTTATCGGTGAACACGTAATGCACTTCTGGCCAATCACTTGTCGTGAATAATATGAAAAAATAATAAGACCTAAGATTGAACTGAGAAAGCAGAAATCAGAAAAATGTTTTGAATGACGAATTTTGACTATGTGTTGTCAAATAAAAAAAACACAGTAAATACAACAATCCATGAATTGGAAACTATAACTCTCCTAAAAAGAAACAATTTTATGGGCTAGCATATAGCTTCAACATATTATACTGGTACACCAAATGTTCTGACAAATTGCCTACCTTTTGCTGTATGCCCCCTTTAACCACCTAGTTTAGTTAAACAGTCATACTCTACTATAAACCATATCATCCACCTTGACATTATATTGGAATGATTTTGGGTTAATTATGAAATAATTGCATTGATCTGTAGTTATTGAAAATTTATTTTGACATTGGTCATACAACATATTATTATATTATATGAAACTTTGATCAGTTGCGATAATAAATTAGTGCGACGTATTGTTAAATCTTCAAACATGACTATAGGTCATAAGGTTGTTGGATTTTATTTGGAAATAGACGTTGCTATAATTTGACATTTATATGACAAATTTACCGGTTCTCAAATTTTCTGAAATTTTCACTATCATATCTCAACATAATGCACCAAGTAATGTTAAAAGATTTTTGGTGTACAAGAACTGGAAATTGGTGTTTTACTTCCCGTAAAACAATTGATATAGCAAAAGAGTGTATGAAAATACCAACATTTTTAGAGTTTAAGATTTAATAACTTTTTTATTATGCAATTTTTTGTTACATATTTGAGTTCATAATTTGCCGCAGATCCTATTTTAAATAATATAATATTATTTGGTAGCGTAAAACATTGTTTTGATAGTTTTTCGGACAAAAAAGTGAACCCTGTGGTACACCTTTGGAAGGCGGCACTAAATAGTTCATAGCACAGGCCCTGGGGACCTTTTAATTTTTTTTTGAATATCTCATGGGTCGTGTCTTAGGGAGCTACAAATATAACCCAATACTGGTTAAATTGCTTTGTGGGCAAAATTCTTTTGTTCCTGTAACAGGTCCTTTATAATGTTTTTAATCTTTGCTTACCAATGTATTGATTCGACAAATGATACCAGGACGTTCCCCACATATGTCACAGATTTCAAGAAGTGTTCCTTTATGTTCTTTTTCGTAATAACTATGAGCTTTAATAATTTACTTGTGGTTGCGCATGTGACATTTTGTTTTCATTTTTACCATTTTCAAATGCCAAAACTGGTATGTTAATGAAATACGAAAAAGTCAAAACAACAGCGAAACGGTGGAAGAAAACCGGCTCACCCGGAGACAAACAGCTGACCTGCAGTAGAGATGTGATGCAAAAGCTAAGATCTCGTTGAAAGTAACAAGGAAGTTCTATTGATATGTTTAGAAAATACATACTGAATACATTATATAGAAAGTTGTGAAGTCCGGTATCCCGAACAACAGTAATTACTTTGCCTTTCTCGACACACATTGTATATTTGATGTCTTCTCCCTTCACATAATTGATTTCAGCTACATCCGGTTTTTAGCACCATGACTTGTTCTATCTATAACCAGCCCCAGTGGCCGAGTGACCTTCGACATCATATCATCTTTTCTATTATTTAACAGACCTCATCTACCATTATCACTGAAAAACACAAGGGCAATAAGCTACATAATACCAATAGAGTTATACTCTACAGAATCAACAGGGCAGGCGATATATACATGTAGACGTCTTAAAGGTGCACATTTATGCTTTTATTGTGGTAATACCTCATCCTCGATATTCTAGAGGTTATGTTCACTTTTGCTCTCTTCACCTCTGGATTTTGTCAATAGAAAAATTGAAGGTATGCAGTTATTTTTACATGGTCTCATTAAAAAAACGTACCAATCGCTAGGTTAATATCCGGGCTTTTGAAGATAAGAGAGGAGGACATCCGGCTTCAAAGCAAGTCAATTTACCGTTACGCGACCGAGAGATTCCCTTGATGTCCATTAAAGGATCAAACTAGTCTACTCGTCTCATCCACTAGGTGACCATCACTGAGCCTTCGATTTTGTCTTGACATATACTAGGGGATGCAAAGAATGTAAGTGAGAGTTACCACTGGAGTCTCGACGATGGGATATCACAACGATAAAGACCATAAATGTACTTTTTGAAATATTGTTACCTCAGTCATGTCACCGTCGGCTAGGAGGCGGAGATCTGTATTCAAGCTACAGGCTTGCAAAACCGTATTATACCTGCGTAAAAGTTAATGAACTGATTAATTACATAACATTTTAATATAATCGTGACCAATTTGCAAAGGTTTATGAAGATTTGTTTTTTAATCTGTGGGTCACTTTGGATGCATTTGTTTGCGCAGACACATATTTACGGAGGTAGCTCTGGTGCCAAAATGGTTTCATTATTGGATTGCAAAGAAAATGCAAGTCATAGAAATAGTTCATCTACTGACAGCGCTCCTTGTGAAAATATTCTTTGTCTATATTGATGTTCCATATATGTTTTAGAGAATTTAAAAACAAACATAAATTAATTAAACGCTATGTTAATAATAACGTTGAATAATTGACATGTTCATGAAAAAAATATTCTAAAATTATAAATATTCGCGTTTGGTATTTTCAAGCTAATTTACTCAACTAGAAAACAGTAGTCCCGAAACCGCAAAGAAATAACCTCTTTTATAGAAGATATAATATCATCTAGTCGTTATATAGCAATTATATTACAATGGCTTACCAATGTTGTTTATAGGGGTTTCCGAAAAGGATATTTTCCCTCAACGTCCCCTTAAATACCCATGCCTGCTGTGCAGCATACGCCACTGAACCATCAACAGCCAGATGACCGGTAAGCAGCGACATCTGAGGTTAATACAACATTATTTCAAAGTCTTTTGATATTTGACATTTAGAAGAATTTCTGTATTTATCGTGATGTAATATTTAATTCACAACCAAACAAAACTGCCAACTGTTGCCTGTTTATCGTTAATATCGTTGATTATTTTTATCTTTATGCAATTCACTAGGTTGACACTACTTGTGCGCATGAATTTGTATGTAAATATACATCAGTATCACTTAATCTGCTTTAACACCATAATATAATCAAATGTGTATTGAAATATACACAGGTTAAAACGCCTTTTTAAACCGGATTTTTATATAACAAATTCTGAATATTTTTTCCAGTATTGTCCATGAGGATGAACATTTTAAATAATAAGCAACATTTTACATCACGTTTAAAGATGATCGTAACACACAGACGCGGGTAATTGCACCTTTACAATTTAGTAATAGATACAGTCCAAAAATCTAACACACTCCCCAGTAATTTACAAACATATGAAGAATCATGAACATGGATTGTATATTATGTTTCTGGTTTCTTTACCGTATATTTAATTATTTTTAGTAGTGATTTTATTTATTTGCATCGTGTTTCTTAACATATACAATTTACAATTCGACCTATATTTCTTTGAAATTCTATATTATCTGAGTATTACAAATTTAAATATGATTCTGACTCGCACTTTTAGTATAAAACTGGCAATATAATTGTAACTTCGACTATGGTGCGTTTTTTGACAAGAACACTTGTGTTACAATGTAATGATATAGATATATGCTTACTCATCAAAATAACATTGTTATAACTTACCCTTCCGATCAGTGCTTGCAACAAAGACGATTTTCCACAACCAATAGTTCCACATATTCCAATATGCCTTCCCTATGAGAAAATGCAGTGCTTAAGATGTATTTGATTTTCAAAAATACGGAAAATATATGTGATTTATGAAAGATTAGTCATTATGATAATCATCTTCTAACAGTTAAACAGGCTTAGAAAATCCTGAATGTAAATTAATTCCAAAAATAATAAACTGTTATGATGCTGAAAATATTTCGAATGTTTTTTTTTTCTAAATTTCTATTTTGTTTTCTGCTACACAGTAAATACTAATTTTTCGATAGTTTTTTAATTTATATATTGTTTTTCAATAAATAGTAATCTTATTTCTGAGGGTTGCATCGGGAGAAGAAAAAGCGGAGTATCAGACCAAATATATTGACGATGGTGTGAAGGGCGCTGGCGCATTATTTGAAGACTTGCTAGACATATAGTTAGTTTACTACTAGTGTTTTTGAAGCAATTAGAAGCATTAATTAAGTGTTGACCATTTTCAAATTTTGCCAATGTTATAGCCAAAATAAATCTGTGATATTTTTATTAATAATTATCGTTGTTGTTTTCCAATTTCATCTTACCCTAGTGATTGTAAAATTGATATTTCGCAATACAAACGGTGAGGAGTCGCGATCTAAATCTGGAACAGAAAATAATGTGGAATGAATGATTTATAATCTAATATTGCATATCCAAACATGTAAACATCCATCTACATGAATTCATTTTAACTAAGTATTTCATGGAAAGATGAAACAAAAAAAGCATACACTTTATCGTCAAATGATCGAAAATAAAGCAAAATATGAGAGACAATAATTAGAAATAGTAAGTAATGAAAAACCGATTATGTCTGTCTTTAATAATTCAACCTTTTAAAAATTATTAATTAAAGAAAAAACGTGAACTGGGGAAGTTTGTACACTGTAGAAGCAACAGTTCTTATACCTTTAGAATCACCGGACGTAAGATTGCCGTTTGGATCATTGTTGTTACAGGTATCGCCACCCCACATAAACACAGTGTCACTAAGCTCAATAGCATTTTCTGAATTTACGACATCTCGTCCTGGCGGCTTGAATTCTTCTTCCAACATGAAACGCTGGGAAGAAAAGAAAAAATAGCAAGCTCTCATGGGATTATTTACATTTTTAACATGTAACACGAACGTGCATAATACAAACACAAAATACAATCGATCAAATTTTTCAATGAAATATCTCCTACCCAGCAAGTAAAATAACTTTCCTAGTCATTTATTATATCGGAAAAAATATATTACTGAGGCTTTCATTTTGGGTTTAATCTTCGTTTCATTCTCGTCAGTTTGAGAACAAAATTAAACATCCGTTTTTAACAGCTAAACGTACGGTTTCAGCACATGGTTCCTCGAAAAAGAATTTATATTTTCTGCCATGGGCATTTTCTTGACCAATTCTAAGTGTTTACAGTGCTAAAGAGCTACGAAGTGTTATCAAAATGAACAAAAGCTGTACAACCCGTCACCATCATAATGTCGTCTTAATCGATAATCGCCTTCTTGATACACGGAAATGGCCATTGAAACTATATACCGGGAATTTTTCTCCCAATATTGAATGTGCTCTTCTCATTTAATTTCTATCTATGTTATGTTGTTTGTTCATGTTTGCTGTAATCCGCCTTCATAACAAAGGGTGGAAAAGGCCAACATTTCCTGATACAAAGTACACTCTCACACTATCAGTTTACATTTTTTGGTCATTGTTTTGCAAGATTGCAAACCAGTTTTAGAGTATGGCTTGACAGTATAAAATCTGGATAAGTGAACGTAACTTATATTTCGTATCAATGAAGTAAAACAAACATTATTTTTGTGTGGTTATACAGTGTCATTGTCACTGGAAATAGACGATGCTTCATGTACATAGGATTCTGGGAAGAGTGCTTTCCGTGGGGGTCACCATGTTTCAGTGTTTACCTTTATTCTCTCAAAACTGATCATGGTTTCTGCAAACATTTGAGCGGCGAACGGAACATGAGACACTAAGATCCGCATGAAACTGAGGGTAGCAACAATCGAAAATGCCTTCAATGGAAATATGACATCATTATCAGAGAAGTGCTGTACGTGTAGATACTGCTTGCCATGTATTTCTATGTTATTATTATTATAAAAAGAAAGAAATAATTATAAATTATCAATGATATTTGAAATGAAATCTTTATTTCACTGTGATAATACGGTTCAATTGATCAAGCTGATATGCTACTGGCCTGCCAAATACAAACGAATAATTGTAAACTGCTTGAATTACCATTTTATGGACAGTATTCGTTATAGGCCCTGTTCATAGTATGTCAGGGACAATTAAAAATAAATTGAAATAATAACATCACCCACCACATGACATTGCCACTTTATAAGCCTAACATACATGTAATCAGGTTGCATTCATATAGACTGTAAATGTCATGGCTCACGTGTTAACGACATCATTATTACTTGTATGACTTCATAATTGAACAGTTGTAACTATACGTTCACTTATTGAAATAAATGAGGAATTTCGATAAACCTATGTTAATGTCTTTGATACTAAAATAGAAATAATGTTGGTTCATATAAGCATTTGGAATGGGTATATATGGCATTAACAGTCTATATGAATGACACAGCATTGGAGGCAAAGTAATCATAATGTGTGCAGGCAAATCGGTATCATCCATAAAGACTGTAAATGCTTTATCTACACAGTCCAATGGTGAAGAAGCAACTAAATATGTTAAGCTTAGTATGTTAACGATATACCTACCGTAGATGCTGTCAATTCATTTCCCGCGTTTACATACGTTGCTATGGTAGCTACAGTAGCTAAGGACGGAGTAATCGGCGAGAAAGCATTGGATATCAAGTTTGATATTAACGATTGTAGTATTTCCCTTGTTTCAGTTTCCCTTATATCTGTATAAATAGTGAAAGTTGTTAGCATTGATTTATCAGTGGGTTTTCTAATTGATTTCAAGCTTCATTAAACGAAACAGCTTCTCATCTTTATATAATCATTTTTTGGAAGCATGCATCTCATTTCATCCAATGTTGCTGGAGAAAGGCATACGTAACACTAAGGCTGCAGGGTGTACGTGGGATATTAATAATTTACCTGAGGGCGTACGTGGATATCAATCATTTCCCCGAGGGTGTACGTGGATATCAATCATTTACCCGATGGTGTACGTGGGATATCAATCATTTACCCGAGGGCGTACGTGGGATATCAATCATTTATCTGAGGGTGTACGTTGGATATTAATAATTTACCTGAGGGCGTACGTGGATATCAATCATTTACCCGAGGGTGTACGCGGGATATCAATCATATTTACCCGAGGATGTCTGTGGGATATAAATCATTTACCTGAGGGAGTACGTGGGATATCAATCATTTACCCGAGGATGTACGTGAGATATCAATCATTTACCCGAGGGTGTACGTGGGATATCAATCACTTCCCCGAGGGTGTACGTGGGATATATATCATTTACCCGAGGGCGTACGTGGGATATCAATCATTTACCCGAGGGTGTACGTGGTATATCAATCATTTACCCGATGGTGTACGTGGGATATCAATCACTTACCCGAGGGGGTACGTGGGATATATATCATTTACCCGAGGGCGTACGTGGGATATCAATCATTTATCTGAGGGTGTACGTTGGATATTAATAATTTACCTGAGGGCGTACGTGGATATCAATCATTTTCCCGAGGGTGTACGTGGGATATCAATCATTTTTCTGAGGGTGTAGGTGGGATATCAATCATTTACCCGAGGATGTCTGTGGTATATAAATCATTTACCTGAGGGTGTACGTGGGATATCAATCATTTACCCGAGGATGTTGGTGGGATATCAATCATTTACCCGAGGATGTACGTGAGATATCAATCATTTACCCGAGGGTGTACGTGGGATATCAATCATTTCCCCGAGGGTGTACGTGGTATATCAATCATTTACCCGAGGGTGTACGTGGAATATCAATCATTTACCCGAGGATGTACGTGAGATATCAATCATTTACCCGAGGGTGTACGTGGGATGTCAATCACTTACCCGAGGGTGTACGTGGGATATATATCATTTACCCGAGGGCGTACGTGGGATATCAATCATTTATCCGAGGGTGTACGTTGGATATTAATAATTTACCTGAGGGCGTACGTGGATATCAATCATTTACCCGAGGGAGTACGCGGGATATCAATCATTTACCCGAGGGTGTACGGGGTATATCAATCATTTCCCCGAGGGTGTACGTGGGATATCAATCATTTATCCGAGGGCGTACGTGGATATCAATCATTTACCCGAGGGTGTACGCGGGATATCAATCATTTACCCGAGGGAGTACGTGGGATATCAATCATTTTTCTGAGGGGGTAGGTGGGATATCAATCATTTACCCGAGGATGTTGGTGGGATATCAATCATTTACCCGAGGATGTTGGTGGGATATCAATCATTTACCCGAGGATGTTGGTGGGATATCAATCATTTACCCGAGGATGTCTGTGGGATATAAATCATTTACCTGAGGGTGTACGTGGGATATCAATCATTTACCCAAGGGTGGACGGGGGATATCAATCATTTATCCGAGGGCGTACGTGGATATCAATCATTTACCCGAGGGGGTACGCGGGATATCAATCATTTACCCGAGGGGGTACGTGGATATCAATCATTTACCCGATGGTGTACGTGGGATATCAATCATTTACCCGAGGATGTATGTGGGATAGGATATTAATAATTTACCTGAGGGCGTACGTGGATATCAATCATTTACCCGAGGGTCTACGTGGGATTTCAATCATTTACCCGAGGGTGTACGTGGGATGTCAATCACTTACCCGAGGGTGTACGTGGGATATCAAGCATTTACCCGAGGATGTAGGTGGGATATCAATCATTTACCCGAGGATGTCTGTGGGATATAAATCATTTACCTGACGGTGTACTTGGGATATCAATCATTTACCCGAGGGTGTACGTGGTATATCAATCATTTCCCCGAGGGTGTACGTGGGATATCAATCACTTATCCGAGGGTGTACGTGGGATATATATCATTTACCCGAGGGCGTACGTGGGATATCAATCATTTTTCTGAGGGTGTAGCTGGGATATCAATCATTTACCCGAGGATGTATGTGGGATATAAATCATTTACCTGAGGGGGTACGTGGGATATCAATCATTTACCCGAGGGGGTACGTGGGATATCAATCATTTATCCGAGGGCGTACGTGGATATCAATCATTTACCCGAGGGTGTACGCGGGATATCAATCATTTACCCGAGGGTGTACGTGGGATATCAATCATTTTCCCGAGGGTGTACGTGGGATATCAATCATTTCCCCGAGGGTGTACGTGGGATATCAATCATTTTTCTGAGGGTGTAGGTGGGATATCAATCATTTACCCGAGGATGTATGTGGGATATAAATCATTTACCTGAGGGTGTACGTGGGATATCAATCATTTACCCGAGGGTGTACGTGGGATATCAATCATTTACCCATTTACCCGAGGGTGTACGTGGGATATCAATCATTTACCTGTTTACCCGAGGGTGTACGTGGGATATCAATCATTTACCCGAGGGGGCAGAATTTTGATCAAAACCGAGGCAGTGCTGAGGTTCTTACACCAAATTATACACCTGAATGTTAAATTTCCAAACCCTACATAATGATTGACTCTTTCTTCCAACTCTTACCTCATATACAGATAAACACGACATTGGCAATACAAATGCAACATTCTTATAGAACATTTCTAAACAACGTAAACAAAACCATATTTGGAATCGCAGAGAAGATTGCTTGTGCAATAATTGCTATATTCAGGAGGTGGTCTCAGTTGTATACGACAAACCGCTATTGTCAGTCCAACCACATTTTAACGGGCTTTCAATTGCGACGTCAAGATGTAACATAGTTGTCTGATTGTGACGTCAAAATATTACAAGGTCATTGAGCGCATGCATGTGGGATCCGACATGAGTGCTCCATGTGGGACATGTGGAAGAAAATAAGGTTTGCAAGGTTTTTAGTTTCAAAATTTTACTGTTAAAATTCAACGAACCCATTATAGATTTTTTAAATGATTCCTCCCACGCATACATTTTTATCAACTTCATGCTGGAGAGAACTTCATTCATCTTTCGTATCTGTCAAGAGAGAAAAAAAGGAAAATTAACTGATCAGTATTATGAATTTAAAGCAAATCTTCTTCCTCACACACGAAGTAATAAAAACAAATATTTTAAATGTTATGACTGCTCCTGTACTTTAAATAATTTTTTGACCTATACAATAAATACAGAGCCGATTATAAATAATAACACGCTTTACACAAGTTACATTTTGTATCTGAAATGCTGGAAAAGCTAGGATTATTTTGGGGGTTAAAAGGTATATAACGAGAAAAAAAATGCACATTATATCCGCGAAGCGGTTTGTGCACACTGCTTTTTCGGTATGTACCGTATAACCATTTTTAGACATTTTCTTCAGGTTGGTAAGTATGAACAGCAGATAGGTTATAGATCACAACCAATAAGTGTTTATGGGCGACATGTCAATGACTAGTTCGATACGTACCCTGTCACCTGTCCTGGAGAGAGAGATCAACTTGTTTAAGCGCACACAAATGAATCTATATGGCTACGCCGCAGTGGGCGAGTTCTGAACCGAGATGAGGGGGCTCATATACTCTTGCACATCTATGACCAGACATTAAACTTAGCGTAGGTCTTTTCGTACATGTTTAATAACTAAGTGTACATGTTCATACGTTTATAGCATATCCGAATCAATTTTGATTATATATGGCCAACTCGTACATATTTCACATTTTTGTGTAATTTCGCTTCACCGCTCAGTTATCTGATGAAGGTAAAAGGGTACTTATCGTACTAGTCATCGAAACTTTGAAGATAAAAACTTTCTTGTTTTGATGTATGACCTTTCTACAATTATCACGGATTCATAAGAACGGAATTTAAAAAGACACTTTTTTGGTGCATTTTTAATAAATGTTTTTTTTCATTTCTGATAAAACAAAATAATTTTGCACGAAACACAACATTATGCTGTAGTTTTATCATTTATCAATTTCAAGTTATCAGAACTTAGGATTATAAATACCGCGCTGAACATTGCTGTATATGATGCCATCATTATTTAGTCTTCTTTATGCTATACGATATAACCAGACTAAGTCTATCATTGGGGGAATAGCCAAAAATACGTCAATACTATTATAGAAATTGAACTTTAATCATCTTGGAGATCCTATGGGTATAAGCGTTTATTTCCAGAAAGTGTTTTCAACGTTCGACTGTCCATGTACATGTATGCTCTTTTGTAACAGTACATACCCTTACATCTGTCCATTCTAACGTCTTTCGTCGGAGATATGATATTATTTCAATCAGAAAGACCTGAAAGGAAAACATAGTAGACATTTGAAGCTATTCAGGATCCGATAATGTTCAAGGGATGTTTGAAATTATGAACAAATTTCATGGAATATTTCTCGATGTAGAAAAAATAGCCATTGCCCTTCTTTAGGAATCTTTTAAATATCACCCTGTTGATAACCCATAATCGGAGCCTACTTATGGGGGTCCGACCTTATACTAATAAATACTTTATGCCAATTACTCTGAAAGCCCTTCCCGCGTATTGAAAGACGGAATACTTATTCCTGGTTCCACTATCGGACATAACTCTTCCGCCCAAGCAACCAACACAATACAACATCACTTCCCATCTGAAGGGATGCTCCCTTTGTACAAATTAAAGTCAAAATCCGTCCAGCTGTTCTGGAGAAGTAGTTTTGAGTGTGAAATTTTTACACAGCTTCGACCGAAAATGACTCCCTTATATAAGCTCTCAGACAATGTATGCTAAGTCAGCTTAAAACCCGATGGAAAACATATTGCGAAACAAACCAGTTACCTGTATGACGTAGAAGACGACAAATGCGGCAAGAGCTACGAAGCACCAAAGTCCTATGAGGTAGTAGATGTAGAAAGTCCCGATTATCAGGTAGACGGGCATTGACAGAATGTACACGAACAGCAAAGTGTTCAGAAACACTCTCAAGGAGTCAGATCCGAAAATTGTTATGATCTAAGATAGAAAGATACATGTCAATTCTTCAGGCAATTTTAACAGTAAACATAATTTCAATAAATAAACAAATCTCTATCTCGGTTTCTATCTCTATAACAACATTCCTCTAGTTTTATAAGGGACTTCAGAACTTAAAAACTCGTTAATTAACATTTTATTTAATCATTTGAAAGTGTTTAGAAGTGTAGCTACATACTAATGCAGAGTTTCAGACGTTTCAACAATTCTCTTACGTATGAACTTTCCGCGGTCCTGCGCTCACCTTTGATAGCTTACAAGTAACATAACACGTACATGTATATATCATTATAACAGAATTTGACGGGAGCAATAAGTAAATAATAATAAGGAAATCACAGTTATCTGGAAGTGGAGTCATACATTATGTAAAATTAAAACAGAAACAGTTTTTTTTTATATTTCAATGTTTCGCGCCTTTAAATGACCTTATATTAAACCAAATTCATAATAGTAAACTTGTATAATATTTGTTCAATCCCCTGCTAAAATCTTCATATAATGCAGTTCTATGTAACTTATTTACTTTTACTTCTTGAAACAATGTAATATGCTGTACAATTTAAACTCTAAAGAGACGATTATCGAAAGACACATTTCAACAACAAAAATCGAGAGTTGCAAGTTGATGAAGATAACGGGCCAGTTTTTCATCCGCCATGGTGATCTCAATGGAAAAATGTAAGATATTCAATTCTTTTGTAGGAAATGTAGGTCGATGTTTCAGATATGCTCATCAGTATGCCTGGTTCATTGTCACTACCTCGAATCTTGCTTTGAGGATGTCAAATTACTTATAAATCTAAAGACACTTACTCTTCCTGAACATCTGGTCTTATTCCCCTTGTATCTTCCAATGGTCTCCATATAAATCTTTCCTATATGCATCTTCTTTGTTTTGTCCGAGCTTTTTCGATTTTAAGTTCGGCACTTCAGGTATTTTTTTGTTGTTTATTGTTCAAAATATTTCTACGTTGTGAAGCAAACCTTACTCAATTACTTAGCAGCAACATATAACCTCGTATTAAAAGTATAATTTTACCTCAGATGCAATCATCCCATTCATACTCTTCAACTTCAGGAGTTTTTTGTAAGTCATTCCCAGTATTGCAGATCGAAATCGTATTCCTAGAGTGAAGGAAAGTAGTTAAAATCATAAATAACGTAAACACTTGGGACAAAAATAAAAATAAATTTTAAAAAATCAGGAACTAAAGAGATTTTAACAGTGTGAACTTTTATAAACGTACTGATTTTTGCAGTTTTCTAATTTAAGCGCTTTTGGTGCTTTAAACACACGCTTTTATACATGTGTGATTGTGCTTAATACTTTTGTATATATTTTTCTACTGCATCTATTGTAAGCGCGCCAATTCGTCATTGCGTTAATTTATTAAAATGTGATAAAACGTTAAAAAATAAATAGTTTGCTAAAAATAAGTACTTTTACAGGATGTGTATTAAAATATCAAAGATAAGCACGTTGACAATGTAAATTGTATTTCTAAACAATATAGTTATGTTTATGAATGACCTTTTTTGTAGAATTTAATAATATGAAGCCGTCATTACACAACTCCTTTAATCTACATATTTCTTTACGTCCATGCGTTGATAAGTTATTATTAAAAGTTTACCTCTGGAAATGGTTTACTGAAATTATTTTATTATTTATACATTGAGGCGCTATAACAGAACGGAATTTCAAAGTGGGAAAATGCACATTTTTCGCCTGAATATGAACAGTCTATTATATACCTATTTATATAGTTCACATTTCATACAATAGAAAAACTCATTTTACACAATAGAAACTCTGTTTCAGGTTCAAGGTTCCAAGAAAATAAAAGTAGGAGAAGTATTCCATTCCAGAAATGACTTGCCTGATTGTAGTCCATAAAAGAGGGAAATTGTTTGTGAAAGACTCCATAGAATTTGTCCGACAACAGTAATGATTACAATTCCGACGGCGTAAGTTACCGATGATTCTGGTGATTCTAAATATCGTGTTATGACATCGGTGATGTAACCCTGAAAGATGAATTCAACACACACACAGCACATTACCAAAAATGAATTACACTTCATTTTACAGCTGTTTTGTCCTTTTCTGACTCATCAGGGATGCTAGGGGCCAAAAAGCTGATCTTAAAATTGTTCTTACCTACTGTTGAAAAAACACAGTAAAAAAAAACTTAATTTATGTATTTAGAAATTTAGAGTAGAACAGGTAAATTTCCAATTAAATAATCTTTAAAATCTGTGCATTATGAACCATGCCACTGCTCAAACGAAATATGCAATAGAGCCAAATGTGGCCATCAAGGTTACGGCAAACGTCGGGGACAACAAAACAAAAGTAACGCGAAAATATTCTCAGGCTAATATTTCTTTATCTTTGATATAGGCAATAAATATATAAAACATGTGCATTTCAGAGTCATGACCAACGTAACCAATATAATCGATCAGCAATAGTGTATGGAATGTGAACAGTCTATCACAACGACTGTCTGCGTAGGGGGGAAATATCCACATGATTATGATTATCATAGAGTATATTTTATGATAGCATTATAATGCAGCTTGTTTGTTTAGATCTTACTTATATGCATATATATACCTTCCTTGAAACAGTATGAAAATCAATCATAAAGTGTATTAACGATGACGCAACAGAAAGATTTTTCTTGACCACAATACACTGATTTTATGAATGTAACGTATTTTGTACATGTACCATATTTTTACACTGCATTTCCCCAACTCTCTTCTAACTTCCCCTGTAAATTATTCACGTCACTATCCCTCAGCTATAGTTGATAATGTTGGTTACGATGAAAGGTAACAGTTAATATAAGTGTATTAACACTTGTTTTTGTCTCCAATTCATGTATGCATAATCATATTTGTATTATGTATTGCATATGTTATGTGAATAAAACAAAGTTTAAACTAAACTAATATATAGAGTCAAAACGCGAACATTTCTACATGCAGGTTTTGCACTTTTGCAGTACTCGAAGTTGAGCGAAAATATCTTGACCTGGTAATGCATATTTATTTACAGAAATATAAACTTAGATAAATTTGCAATCGATTTTTGGTAACTTTTCATTTATATAATATTTTTGAAAGAGAGATTGATGGATGTAATGCATTTGCAATGAATTTCTCGGAACCTAGTAAGACAAATCAAAAATATTTAAATTGAAAAAACAAAAATAATAATCAGTGATTCTTACCGTAAAGAGAAATGTGATAACGGCATTGCAAGAGAAGGCTATGAAAACCATCAGTAGTCTAACCCATGTGAACTTAAGCCATAGTCTTAATATTGAGCTTCTTTGCCGCCCGTTTGTCTGAAGCTCTGCAAACCACATTGGTTCTAATCTGGAGAAAGATGAATATAATATTTTATTATATTGTATAAAAGCAAACTCAAAACGTTTTTTTTATTTTTTTATCTATTTTTTTATTTATGTTTTTAGATACTTTATCATTATAACTTTCGGCGTTTTAATGAACTTTATCATTATAATCTTTTATTATATTTCATCATTATCATTTTCGGCGTTTTATTGTAGTACCAGGGTGATTAATATTCGTGATGTAAACTATTTTTATTTCGTCTGGCGAATTATCTGGGAAGCTACAGCTTGTTCATATATGGGCTATTTGAGCAACCCCTACCATACCCTCAAATTTTATACATTGTGAATATCCATTGCAGCTTTCAGAAGCGTTAAGTTAATAATAATATATTGTAGGCAGTTATTAAAAGACATTATCTGCAAAGTATGTCTCCAACATTTGTAATGCCACAATTATGATACGTCTTATCCTTAAATATTTCTAGACGGTAATTGATGAAATAAACTGTGAATAAATTAAACATTATCAGTACCGTTCCGTGTTGTTGGCACAGGATTCTAATTTTGAACATGTCCACACGTCATCTTTTCTGATTTCCTTTTCTCTGTTTTTGAAGAGCTTTAAAACAAGGGGAGTTACCCATCCGAATGTTATGTAGGATAAAAACCCTACGACATTTACAGGTATTGGTCCCTTGCTGAAATAAAAAAATTAAACAAATTAACTTCACACAAAAATAGAAGGCGATATTATGTACTATTTATTTGTGTATGTATTACCTTACCGTCCCTAAGTTCTCATTCATATACCAATATATGATCAATGTATCGATATGTTTATTTTATAAAACTTGTATAGTGAAGGCGTGACTGTTACTATTTGGATAGAAAGGAAGTTCCACTTTAAGAACAATGAATTAGTTTTCCTAGGGATGTTGCCTTTATCGGTCATCTCTGCTGAACAGACTAAACCTCGACTTTAATTTTAATTTCGCATTATTATTACGAGGTTTATACAAGAATTAAACATTTTAAAAACTTATTATTTAAGGATTTGGTTCTATGATTGTGAGTGGCCATCAGCTTTTCAATTGCCTGTTGCATTCATACCATGTACAGTTTTCAGATGCTTTATGCGACTACTGAAAACGAAATCGTTTTGTAAAGGTCTATAATGGTTCTTATCATAAATTAATATACAGTACCAAACTTAATTAAATTCTCATCTTTATATTTTATGCTATGAAAAAAATTATTAAACCACTTTGAAATTGAATCCTTTTAATTAAGCGTATCGTCTGCGATATTAAGATGTACTCTACGAATCTGCGATAACAGGATGCTACACTACATAAATCAGCCGGTTACTCGGTAGGAAGACCAAGAACCGGTTACCAAGATCAATAACCGAATAGTCACAAATTTACCTACTCCTTTAGGGAGACCCATATTTCCCTGGCTTACCTACAAAATATCTGTAGATGCGACCAAAATCGGATAGTTTTGTTATATAAACAGTGTTCAGGCTTACATGTTTGTGTTGTATTTGTTGACCAATGTGAATAAAGTAGCATGCTGGGATGAAGGTCTACCAAGTTTGTTCAAATGAATGACCTTGACATTTATTCAAGGTCACAGGGATCAAATATGTTTAAAATCTTTAAACGACATCTTCTGAATAATCAAAAGGCCAGAATGTTGATATTTAGTCAGTAGCATAGTTTTGTTATAAAATCAATATTAAGGCTTACATGTTTGTATTGTATTTGTTCTCCATTGTGTTAATTGTAATTGAAACCCGCCTTACTGTATTCCAACATTTGTTGTCTATGAAATGAACTAACTGAGAATACATATGTACATGAAACTATTTTCTGCGTTTAGCTTATTGATATTTAAGTGTATGTTTGTTGTGTAAATACATTTGCTAAACATATATTGTGTTTGCTGTTGTATATTGTTTGATAACCAAATTGACCGATTAACCGGTTACTCGATCGGAAGATTTTTCGAGTAAACAGTTACCAAAATTTGACCGGTTTTAAAACCAAATATTTACGCATTATTGAGAATGTTATGCTTTTATCTGTTAGCTATTTGTTCTTTGCTAATTTACTCCTTCGTTAAATAGCTAAGGTTATATGAAGATATGTGCCTAGGAAAACACTACTGAAAGAAAAAAACAGAGAGGTAAGAGAAAAAAAGGAAGACCCAACCTTTTGCAAAGGGGCCAGCAAGTTATTTAGGGACTTTTCAATGTCATCTACGTAGAAGACGTCCTCGATATCCAGGGGTTACCCTCACTTACGCTCTTTGAACCTCTGGCATATGTCATAGCAGAATTGAAGGCACACGGCTAGCTATTTAATTGGTCTCAGGTAAAGAAACCTGACCAATCGCTAGGCTGACATTTGTCCTTTGAAGATTACAGGGGAGCAACAACCGAATAAAAAGTCAGTAAATTTAACCGTTACACGACTGCGGGATTAGTCTGATATACATCAAAAATGATCAAACTCGTCTTCTTTCTCATCCACAAGGTGCCTCGAACTGAGCCTTCGAATTTGCTATGACATATTCCCTGGTTGTACAGCACGTAAGTGAGCGTAACCCCTGGAGTATCGAGGATGCATATAAGACAGCGAAGACATCAAGAGGCACAGATAAGGTGAGAATAAACTGCTTGGTTCAATATGTAGTTTTCTCATATATGACACATTTCTTATGCATTCTATGTGCCGTAAAAAGTATTGGAATAAATAAATTCTCTAAGAGTTCAACATGAAAACACTGTAAACTAAGCAAATGAGATTTTCTAAAATAAGAAACTCAAGCTAAAAAACAATATTCTATCAATGAATATTCAAAATTATTTAATTGAGATATATATGTTAAATATATTATTAAGAATTTCTAGTAATATCACTGGCTGAATCCCATCTAATGACCATTTAAAACACATATAGACCAATTTCCTGATCAATATGGATTTCCTAATAAAGCCTTCAGGTTGATTTCCTACATATTGGCTTTAATACCTGTTTGACAAATATTTATTTCGGATTTTTATCACATGTTTGGTCGTTTTTCAACATTTAACAATATAGTATTGTTCCGAATGATTGTTCTACAGATGTACGTTTAAGAACCTACAAATAACATATGGCTGGAATCCTAGCATCAAAGCAATGCATCCCTAAGGCTTTTAGAACAGCATATATATAACGAGACAACTACAGACTTTTGTGTGGAAAGAAATGATGTAAAATGAATAAATGTCATGAACTTTTTTTTACCGTGCAAATTACATTTTGCAATGTTCGATTGTTTCAAATGATATCCAACCACTGCTTCTACAGTAAATTACTACGAAACATTGGGACAATGTCATAGTTGAATATTTCGCATATAGAAATCGTATACATTACGTGTGTTTCCTGTCCAAAAGTTTCTGTTTCTCCGAATCATCATATATGGCCTTGTCTACAAGCCTCCAAAAGCAATCCATGACTGTTTGCAATATTTGAACTTAATGACCAATATAGAGTTTTATATACCATAACCATTGATTGTAAACTTAATGACCAATATAGAGTTTTATATACCGCTTTTGCACCTGTTTAATATCCATTTTCAAATCAGCTAGAATGATGTTATCAGATTTCATTTACGGACATTTCATTTTTTAGTAACGCTGACTATCTAGTTCATGCTGCATTTCATTATTATGTTTCTAGCTGATTTCTAGGATAATACTACTGGCGGCAGCTTGCATGCTTCTATAAACCAATTTAATATTCTACTCAAATTCTATAGGGATTCATTGCTGGTGTTATACTATGACGGTATTTGCTCATGGCTTTATCCTTTACATAGAGAACACGACTATGACGGTAGTCTCTGGCTTAACATATAGAACACGGCTACTACTAATTACTATTGCTCCTGACTTTACCCTTTACTTCAAGAACACGACTATTTATGACCATAATACATCACTTTAAATTTAGAGCACGGCTACTACTAATTACTATTGCTCCTGACTTTACCCTTTACTTCAAGAACACGACTATATATGACTTTAGTGCATGGGGCTTTGCATTTAAAGCACGACTACTACTAATTAATATTTTTCATGGCTTAAGCCTTTACGCAGTTTAAGTGCATGACTTAACATCTAGAGCACGGCTACTACTAATTACTATGGCTCCTGACTTTACCCTTTACTTAGAGAACACGACTATATATGACTATAGTGCAGCGCTTTACATTTATAGCACGGCTACTACTAATTATTATTGCTCCTGACTTTACCCTTTACTTGGAGAACACGACTATTTAGGACTTTAGTCCCTGGTTTAATATATTGAGCACGACTACTACCAATTACTATTGCTCCTTGCTTTACCCTTTACATAGAGAACACGACTTTATAGGACTATAGTGCACGACTTTGTATTTAGAGCACGGCTACCTTTAATTACTATTGCTCCTGGCTTTACCCTTTACAAAGAGAACACGACCAGATATGCCAATACGTGACTGCACGGCTTTACGTATATAGCACGACTACTACTAATTACTATTGTTCATGACTTTACCTTTTACATAGAGAGCACCTCTTTTAACGACTTTATTACATTTCTACTTTTATAGCATCTTGACCCTTTACATAGTGAGCACAAATATGTGTAACTTTTGTCCCTCGCTTACCCTTTACATAAATAGCACCACTATTTCTAACTATAGTCCTTGGTATACTTTTCAAGACCTGCATACATCAATAAATCTGACCACTCTTCAATTCAGTGAATCATTAAAATGGTTGACGGAAACGTTTGTAAATAACATTACCACATTAATATATCAAACACGTAATTACTTAACATTTTGCACAACACTGACGTTTGAAAAAGATATATACATTTTATCATGAGTTTAAAAGAAACATTTAAAAATCTTAGTAAAATATGTGGGTTTACAAGCCTATATCATATGTAAGATTAAATGTATGAATATCATTGAATTTTAATCTTGACACGGAATTAAAACTATTTAAAAATCCGAAACTTTACAGCTCTATGTTGGTGCGTTACCTGACCTTTTCGTTGCGTACGTACGGTGTATGTTATTATAGTTATGCTATTCATTAAATTAAGTACAATTAACCAAACAGACATATACATAGATATATTTTTTTTTCGTTTATTTTTGCCTACACTTTCTTGATTATAGCGCACAGAAGGACTTTTTGTTGTTGTTTTTTCAAATAATAGTCCAAGCGCAATGTGATATATCTTTAACAGGGAAGATACTAAGTTTACTGAATACTGTTGCTGACATCATCGTGCATGCACAAACAAATATAGCAATGGATTACAGAAAATATCAATACATCGTATTCATACTTTTGCGCAAACTCTAGCACCTCTGTCATGGGGATCCCATCCACTTCGAGGCCGATCAGGATATATGTTACGACAGTACTTTAACTGCAATTAATAGGAATAACTGGTAAAAATATACTTGCAAAAAAAGGCATCGAAGAGAATCGTTTCTTTGTATGAATAATGACAGGAAATAACCTAGATTAAAACACAGCTGTGATGTCATCCATTGTTATTTGCGTACTATATCCAACAGGCATAGGCATCATCTGTAAATGGGACTCTGTTCCGTTTACTTTAAAATATGTTTATTCAGCAATGAACACGGTCTGAAAAGACACACAAAGTAGTGGTAAATTGCACAATAATAATTAGCATGAATTACGTATAGAAACTAATCATAACATGCAATCCTCTAACCTGTAGCCGTTCAATAAGTCGCTTGTAGCTTTCCAATAGGTACACAAAGGGATCCACTCATTGGAGGGCTACAGGAAACATATTTGACAGCTAAAGGTAAGCTTTTGAATGAGCACATAATTATGCTATTCAATGGAAAACATAGCAATAGAATAAATGTGAAAATAAATATGTATTAAATGTAACACAGAATTGAAATATCAACATTCTAAAAGTATATCCGGTATTTTATATTTCCATAGTCAGGTTTCCCATGCACTATATTTTTTTCCTTGAAAGATGGTTTGAATCACGTAACACTCTTTTTACATAAAACATCCATACAGATGACGGACTTCCTGTGTCAGGGTGTGTTTATAGCAGTGTAAATGTGTGACTACCTGTATCAGGGTGTGATTATCTGTGTTAGGGTGTATTTAAAGCAGTATAAAGGTGTGACTATATCTGTGTAAAGGTGTGACTATATCTGTGTAAATGTGTGACTACCTTGTTTCTGGGTGTGACTACCTGTGTCATGGTGTGTTGATAGCAGTGTAAATGTGTGACTACCTGTATCAAGGTGTGATTATCTGTGTTAGGGTGTATTTAAAGCAGTATAAAGGTGTGACTATATCTGTGTAAAGGTGTGACTACCTTGTTTCTGGGTGTGACTTCCTGTGTCAGGGTGTGTTTATAGCAGTATAAAGTTATGACTATATCTGTGTAAAGATGTGACTAACTTGTTTCTGGGTGTGACTTCCTATGTCAGGGTGTGAATACCTTAAACGAATTCCTTGACGCGATGACATCCCGAATTATTCGTAATGGCTAGGAACTGTTCAAGGAAAGTATCTGTTTTAATCGTTAAAGTTAACCCATTTCATTGTTTTATCAATTGCTGTGCCTATTTTCAATGTTTATGCGCTGATTGAGCATAAAAGACATTTAGGGATAAGCATGCAACTTAGTATATATATTGGTTATATGATGATATTTAAGTTGTGAAAATTTCATACTTATACCACAATGCCTTTTTACTTAAAAATGTTTTTTCTTTTGTTTTGGAATACACGGGCTAAAGTGCATCTCCTTGCCCAAGGATGGTGGACATGGTGATGCAATGTTTTAGACATGCTATTGTAAAACACTTAGATTCCGAAATTCCTCGTGAAACACGATCAATCGAAGAGAAACAACGAATCCTGTTTCCCCACAACAAAGGTAATTTATTTACAATGTTGGTTTTAGCAAATTTTCAAGATTAAGGCTATTGGAACTTATAATATATTTTGTGCAATAGGGATATGAACGGGTTTTTTTTTTATTCACATTACACTGCCTTAGTTTTTTTACCATAGTTTTCTTAGTTATCAAAATGTCACTTTCATTCACTTACCCTCACTCACTCACTGTACCACACTCATTCACTCACCCACACTCACTCTCTTTCCCACACTCTCTCCCTCTCTCCCTCACTCCAACACTCTCCCACACACACTCACTCTCTCTTCCTAACTCACTCTAACCACACTCACTCTCTCATCCTCACTCACTCACTCTACCACACTCACTCACCCTACCTCACCCACTCACCACACCCACTCACTCACTCGCCCTCATGACACTCACTCGCCCTCATGACACTCACTCTACCACACTCACTCACTCTACCACACTCACTCACTCTACCACATTCGCTCACTCTACCACACTCACTCACTCTACCACACTCACTCTCTCTACCACACTCACTCTCTCTACCACACTCACACACTCACTCACCAACATTCCCTCACTCTACCACACTCACTCACCAACATTCCCTCACTCTACCACACTCACTCTCTCATCCTCACTCACTCTACCACACTCACTCCCTCTACCACACTCACACTCGCTCACTCACTCACTCTACCACACTCACTCTCTCCTCCCCCACTCACTCTACCACACTCACTCTCTCCTCCCCCACTCACTCTACCACACTCACTCACCTCACCCAACCTCCGTCCCTCACTCGCCCTCATCACACTCTACCACACTCACACTCACTCACCAACATTAGCTCACTCTACCACACTCACTCTACCACACTCATTCACACTATATTTTCCTCTCCGCCATACACACTTCCAATTAGGAAACTACCACCTCGAGCAAGGAGTATCCAATCAGAGGTAGCATTTCACACTAGACACCTCCATTATCAGACTACAACCACCGAAGTGTACTATCAGACCTGACTGTAAAAATTGATAATGTAGATAATCTACAGTCGCTTCACGACAACAACGTTAACTAAGCTAAAAGGCCAATCAGGGGTTAGGGGAGCTTTGATTACACATCAGCGCACAGTTGGCATTTCCGTGTTTGAAACAACAGTAGCGCTAGATGGACTGCACCCATGCGGGTTTTGTCTTACTGACAGAGGTCGGCAATATGTTTGATGAAATCGTACAGTTTTTATATCAAATAAAATCTTTCTACACAGCTGTGCAGATTTTATAACATTAAATATAATACAACAACAATAGGTTAACTCTCGGTCATTTTAAAGGGAGACATTTGAGTGTGTTATGAACAATTGCATATAAATTATGTTTTAAATTGGGAAAGAAAAACATTAAAACATGATATATTTTGGCTATTTCTAAGTTGAGTAAGATGGTAGATAACTCTTTATTGCTTAATTCTATATAAGGTAGACCAATTACAGTTAATCCCTCCTGACTACCGCTTCTAATCCCTGTAACTATCGCTACCAGTATTGATTACTACTCAGATCAACGGTCTACCGACTATCTCCTAAAATGCATTATTTTACTGATGAAAAGCCCTTTATAGACTGCATAGTCTATGTGTAAATGGAATTTGTGCCCCCACCCCACCCCTTTTCACTTCAACAGCACCAAGATTTGCGTTGGGGTTCAATCTATCCACCGTGTCTTGGAAACAGTTGAAATCTCAACAGTTTAATCCTACAATGCTGAATAGTGAAACGAGAGGTATAAAGACACATTGGGACCTTGGAATCATTTGGTTAAATCTAGCTCCCCTGGGGGATGAGGTGATCTGCCAAAAAGGGGAAGCTGGGGGATAAATATTAGAAAGCCTACTCCTCTAGACCACTCTGAAGCATAACTGGACTGAGGCATGTTGTATAAGGACGGTATGAACTGTCGTAAACATTTTATTGTGTGTAATATGCTATAATATTTGTACAATGTATGCATGGTACTGTAGCACGATCGATCTTTTCTTGTCTTAAGTGTATAGCTACCGCAATGGTCTGTATACGATACTTGCATTCCCTATAGTACATAGCCATTAGCTACCACAGATGACTGTAATATGATATTTGCCTCCCCTATAGTACATATATATATATATATATATATAGCTACAACAACGCATATAGCATGATCTTTGCCTCCTCTATAGTACATATATACCACAGGAAAACTGAAACACAATCATTGTCTCCTTTATAGTATACAGCTATCACAGGGGACTGTAGCACGATCTTTGCCTTCCCTAGAGTATATATATATAACTACCACAGGGGACTTTAGCACGATCTGTGCCTCCCCTTAGAGTATACAGCTACCACAGGGGACTGTAGCACGATCTTTGCCTCCCCTTAAAGTATATACATGTATATATAACTACCACAGGGCACTGTCGCACGAGTATTGTCTCCCCTTAGAGTATATATATAAATATAACTACCACAGGGGACTGTAGCACGATCTTTGCCTTCCCTAGAGTATATATATATAACTACCACAGGGCACTGTCGCACGAGTATTGTCTCCCCTTAGAGTATATATATAAATATAACTACCACAGGGAACTGTAGCACGATATTTGCCTCACCTAGAGGATATATATATAACTACCACAGGGGACTGAAGCACGATCTTTGCCTCCCCTAGAGTATAGATATAACTACCACAGGGGACTGTAGTACGATCATTGCCTCCTAGAGTATATATATATATATATAACTACCACAGGGCACTGTCGCACGAGTATTGTCTCCCCTTAGAGTATATATATAAATATAACTACCACAGGGGACTGTAGCACGACATTTGCCTCCCCTAGAGTATACAGCTACCACATGGGACTGTAGCACGATCTTTGCCTCCCCCCTAGAGTATATATATAACTACCACAGGGGACTGTAGCACGATATTTGCCTCCCTTAGAGTATACAGCTACCACAGGGGACTGTAGCACGATCTTTGCCTCCCCTTAGAGTATACACTGGGCACTGTGCCTCCCCTTAGAGTATACAGCTACCATAGGGGACTATAGCACGACCATTGCCTCCCCTTAAAGTATATACATGTATATATAACTACCACAGGGCACTGTAGCACGAGTATTGCCTCCCCTTAGAGTATATATATAAATATAACTACCACAGGGGACTGTAGCACGATATTTGCCTCCCCTAGAGTATACAGCTACCACATGGGACTGTAGCACGATCTTTGCCTCCCCTAGAGTATATATATGACTACCACAAGGGACTGTAGCACGGTCTTTACCTCCCCTAGAGTATACGTATATATATATATAACTTTTACATGGGATGGACAGTAGCACGATATTTGCCTCCCCTTAGAGTATACAGCTACCACAGGGCACTGTAGCACGACCATTGCCTCCCCTTAGAGTCTATATATATAACTACCACAAGGCACTGTAGCACGATAATTGCCTCCCTTAGAGTATATATATAACAACCACAGGGGACTGTAGCACGATCTTTGCCTCCCCTAGAGTATATATATATAATAAACACAGGGGACTGTAGCACGATCGTTGCCTCCTCTATAGTATATAACTACCTTAGAAGACTGTATCACGAACATTGAGTCCCCTAGAGTATAACTACAACAGGGCACTGCAGTAGCACGATCTTTGCCTCCCCTAAGAGTATATATATAACTACCATAGAAGAATGTAGCACGAACATTTCCTCCCTTAGAGTATATATATATAACTATCACAGTGGACTGTAGTACGATCTTTGCCTCACCTACAGTAAATATATATATACATGTAGCTATCACAAGGGACTGTAGCACGATCACTGCCTCCCCTAGAGTATATATATAACTACCACAGGGGACTGTAGTACGATCATTGCCTCCTAGAGTATATATATATATATAACTACCACAGGGGGCAGTTGCACGATCGTTGCCTCCCCTAGAGTACATATGTACGTACTTGTCAGTCACAGATGTGACTATTATTTACCTAAATTTTACAATAGCCTGCACCTGGGAAAATATAGCATTTTTTGTATTGAAATTGGGAATTTATTCCCCATTTTTTGGTCATTTAGAGAAAATAAGGCACTTTTGGCCTATATTGTTTAGCCTGTATACGTATTTGGCTGTAAAACTGAGCATAAACTTTTATTTACTGCCTAAGTGTGGATATTTGTGTCCAGGTGTGACTCTTAGTATCAATGTGTGGCGCTACGTTTGTCATTATGTAAGCTTCGGCCCCTCAACGTTCAATTATAGGTTCGGGTTATTGGAGTTGGCCATGGGTTAATGTACTACATTTATGTATGCACCTGTAGCTAATCGAATGCGCCGCATTCCACTACAAACATGTTCTCGACTATGATTCAAGCTTTGCATTGATACCGGGGAAAACTACAAGTCGATCGTGTTGAATAGTAGGTCTAAAATGGTTATGCTTACGGTGCGAATTTAAATGTTTTGACAGGGAAACAATTATCAGTAATATGATATTTTAGTCTAACTTGGTCAAAAAAGGTAAGCACAACTGCTGACAACAATTTGTTGATATGATTACGTTTTGAAATTAGACCCAAATGGCCAAAAAAACGCCAAAAGGATGCAGTGACGAATTGTTTACCTAAGTTACCAGAAATTGATGGGCACAGAACAAGTTACAAATTATATGCATACTTGCCATTTTTTTATATTTCCGAACAGGAGATTCGAGGATTGTATGTTATGATTAGTTTCTTAACGTAATTCATGCTAATTATTATTGTGCAATTTACCACTATACTTTGTGTGTCTTAACATCTTTAAGTAAACGGAACAGAGTCCCATTAATGAACACGGTCTGAAAAGACAAAAAAAGTAGTGGTAAATTGCACAATAATAATTAGCATGAATTACGTATAGAAACTAATCATAACATACAATCCTCTAGAGATTATGCGTGATAGAAATAAATAAAAACATATAATATATGTATACACTTTCTCTGGGATAAAATAACAGTTTCAAATGATGCTTTCAGATGAAATTATCAGATATTCACTGGTTAAAAATGCTCATTTTTGGAGTTCAAAATCGGGAGTCTCTCAGCAAAATAGGGAGAGTATATACGTAGGGCTAGCTAGGAAAGTATATATGCATATGTACACCGTGTATAAAACAGTAAATAAGTAACAGTTATGTTAACTTTTGTAATCATATTTGGATACTACACGACACGTGTGGCTATTGTACTGTTGTTCGAAATACCTGTATCTACGGTCAGAACATAAATTGCAATCGATAACAACTTTCATAAACAAGTATCCATGTCATTTCCCCCCAATTTCCCATTCACACAAAAGTTTGCTCAGGGTTGTTTCACCGTTGATGTATTGGCTGTATGCATCTATTCCTTTGTAAAATTTAAGTTCATCCAAACTATATATATAAGCACTGGTGAAGTTGACAAGATAATATGAAAATGGCTGTGCATGTCACACCTGCCCAAAAATTAATGTCTTTGCTCCATTTGGTCTTGACATTTTAAGTTGGTATTTATCTATTTTCTCTATCAATGCAGATCTGTATCTCCTTCTAGAAACCACATCCAATGAATGTATGTTGTCATTCAAACCTTTGCTAGCCATTTCTGCCATTTCTAGTATGCACACAATATATTATATATTGAGAAAAGTCAACGGTGGCCAAGTATGTCAGTACGAATTTGACCCATCTGAAAGGGCTGCATGCAACATTTACCCCAACCCAGAGTGGTGTTCATTTGATCGAACCTATAAATGCTATGAATAATCAAAACTTAAGATATTTCATGTTTTGTAAACAACTGTGTTATCGGAAGAACTGATGAGGTGTACTTTGAGGAGATATGATATGCCATGCCAGTGATCCTGAGAATGACTATGAGTCTAATGACGTAAAAGACCCCCCACTCGGCCCAGGCTCTAACATTCGGGCCGACAAGAATGATTAATATAATTTAAGCTGAAATAAATTGTTTCATAATTGTTGTGACAGGAATAAAGTGTATATTTGATTACATAAAGAACTAAGGAAAGATTGAAACTTAATTTTAAAATCCGTACACTGCTATACATGTATACACGCTATTAAAATGTTTCCCCATCAAAGTTATATTTTACTCTAACAATTTTGAAAGAGTCTTTTCCTGCTTGGAAAGAAGAAAAAGAATTATCATATACGCTTCTCAATATTTTTTTACCTAGATGTTACACAACTTGTACATGTATAAGACATTTCAGTACTTCAAAAAAAGTCATTACATGTAAAATTTTAAGATTTTCCACACTTCCGTTTAACCACGGAATAAGATAATCTAAGACCTTGCTTTAACTAACGCTTCAACTTATAGCTTTGTTTGCTTTTGTCATAATTCACTATTATTATTAGCTCACCTGGCCCGAAGGGCCAAGTGAGCTTATGGCATGGTGCGGCGTCCGTCCCGCCTCAACTTTTTACTTTTAACAACTTCTTTTCAGTAACCAAAAGGCCTAAGGTGATGATATTTGGCCAGACGCATGCTTGGATGAAGGGCTACCAAGATTGTACAAATAAATGACCTTCATCAATTTTCAAGGTCACAGGGGTCAAATATGTTAAAATCTTTAAACAACTTCTTCTGAATAACCAAGAGGCCTAGGATGATGATATTTGGCCAGTAACATGCTGGGATGAAGGGCTACCAAGTTTAATCAAATCTTCAAATAAATGACCTTGACTTATATCCAAGGTCACATGGGGTCTAATATGTTAAAAACATTTCAACAACTTGTTCTGAAAAACCAAGATGCCTAGGGTGATAATATTTGGCCAGTAACATGCTGGGATGAAGGGCTACCAAGTTTGTTCAAATAAATTACCTTGACCCACTTTCAATGTCACATGGGGTCAAATATGTTTAAAACCTTTAAACAACTTCTTCTGAATAACCGAGAAGCCTAGGGTGATGATATTTGGGTAGTAATATGCTGGGATTAAGGGCTACCAAGTTTGTTCAAATAAATGACCTTGACTTATAATTAAGGTCACAGAGGGCAAATATGTTTTAAACTTTTAAACAACTTCTGATGAATAACCAATAGGCCTAGGGTGATGATATTTGGCTAGTAGCATGCTGGGATGAAGGGCTATAAATTTTGTTCAAATGAATGACCTTCATCTTTTTTCAAGGTCACAGGGTCAAATATGTTCTAAACCTTTCAACAACTTTTTCTGAATAACCAAGAGGCCTAGGATAATGCCAGTAACATGCTGGGATGAAGGAATACCAAGTTCAAATGAATGACCTTGACATATATATTTTAAGGTCACAGGGGTCAAATATTTTTAAAACCATTGAATGACTTCTTCTTAATAAGCAAAAGGCCAAGGGTCATGATATTTGGCCATTAACATGCTGGGATGAAGGACTACCAAGTGAATGACCTTCACCCATATTCAAGGTCACAGTGGTCAATATATGTTTAAATCTTTAAATGATTTGTTCTGTATAACCAAAAGGACCACGGTAATGATATTTTTCCAGAAGCAAAACCACTTTAAACAACTTCTTCTGAATAAATGAAATGCCCCGGGTGATGATATTTGGCCAGTAGCATGCTGGGATGAAGGGCTACAAAGTTTGTTCAAATAAATGACTTTCACCCATATTCAAGGTCACAGGGGTCAAATATGTTAAAAACTTTAAACAACCTCTTCTGAATAACTAAAATGCCCAGAGTGAAGATATATGGCCAGTAGCATGCTGGGATGAAGTGCTTCCAAGTTTGTTTAAGTGAATGACCTTGATTATACTCAAGGCCACAGCGGTCAAATTTTTTTACCATCTTCAAAGGACTTTTTCTGAATAACCATGAGGCCCAGAATGTTGATATTTAGCCAGTAGCATGCTTAGATGAAGGGATATCATGCTTTTGCATTTGAATGACCATGACCCACTTTCAAGGTCACATTTTCACATTGCAAGTTGCATCCTGAGATAAAGGGCTATATTGAGATTTGTTCAACATAATGACCTTGTTCGACTTTAAAGGTCACAGTGATTTTTTTTTATATCTTAAAACAGGTTCTTTAGAATTACTTCTGATCATAAATACTGATATTTTGCCTTTAGCTTTATTTAAGATCACTTTTAAGGTTACAAGGGTGAGATGTTTACCTGGTGAGCGATGCAGGCCCAAATTCGCCCTCTTGTTTAATGTGTTCACCTTTGAACACCACAATCCAGGTTCTAATTCCCTGTCACCACAGGAAGGGCCACAGACATCATTTGTAACAAGAAAGAGAATATACAAGTGTGCTTTCACCGGGGACCGAACCCTCGATCCCTACTCCAGGTTCCTAGTCGGATGCTCTACCACTGAGCTAAAGGGAACTTCCCCCTTGTACGAAGCTAGAAGGCTACCGTAAACCTATGTGCATTTGAAATCTGCCACATCATCATAAAATTTAATTATTTGTTTCAGGTTTAAAAATGGAGCTTGAAAAAGTGTTAAAAAAGTATGATTATGTCCATGCTACTGAAGACACTGAAGAGGCTTTGATAGACATACTTTTTCGCAATAGAAGTGATTTCGAGGATGCAGGAAATTTGCAAAATATTCGAAAATGTGTGGCCGTCCTTCAGGAGAAGATTTGTGTAAAAGGATACCCAGTAGATGGGACTCCAGGCTATGATATGGCTTTTCGTTCCCTTGAAGTCATCAAGGATGTTATGAAGTGAGTATCCTATAAATTGATATAAACGTCATTGATTCCTCAGGTATGGATTCAAGGCTTTTACTGAGGCCATTTTTCCTGGCACATATGTAGCTCCGTCCCTGGTCAGTGGTCCAGCATCATTCCGTCTTCTCTTAAACAATTCTTGTTAGTGCTATTTCTCAGAACGTACCATTCTCAAATTTCATAGAGTGCATGCTTGAACAAACTTAATATCAAAGGATAATACATATGCACCTGTAATACATCTTGACTAAGTATTCAAATTTAATTACTTTATGCAAATATTAACTGGTTACCATGGCAGCCATACTTGAAAACACAAATAAATCTTTATATGATTATGATAATCCCGGGGAAATATTCAAAATTAAAGAAACTGTCATTTGAAAGGTCTATTGAAGATTTTTAATTTCGTTGGATTTGGGGGCCAAAAAAGGTCCAAACTATATATATTCTGTTCACATGGTGTTTTCCAATGGTCCGTAGCATATCCAATTCTGGACCTGCATGATCGCAACATCAAGATGGCCAACATGCAGCCATCTTGATTGTTGGCCCAGTTTCTCAAAAAGTGCCAGAGGGATCATTCTAAAATTTCATATGATGGTTCCCCATGGTCCTAAGTTATGCATATCAAATTTTGGGACTAATAATCACAAAACCAGGATGGCCATCTTGAATTTGAGAGAGTTAAAGTTTGTTAGCGCTGGTACTGGAGGAATCTTTTGAAAATTTGAAATGTAGGTTCCCTGGGGGGTCCTTATAGTGGTACATGTTAATATTTGAAGCTGATAAGGGGAACAAGATGGCTGTCAGGCAAACTAATAAAGATCAAAATGACATAGAACTAGAATGAAGATGGTGCAGTGGTGGGTGGCAATTTAAGATCCCTCTGGGACCTCTTGTTACAAAAATGTTTATTTGTTTCAGAAAACTACAGGGCAGCTGTTTTAATATGCTGATTTTCCTTCAGTGTCAAATGATTCCTAATGCCTCTTTTGCAGTGATTGTGTGGACAATCGTAGAGTAAAAATGGAAGATTGTCAGAAAATGCTGTTCGACTTCCTGTTGGCAAGCATACGTACAGGACCGGGATCCACCCACATGGAGCTTATACCAAAAATCCTGAATATCCAAGACCTGAAGGAGTGCATACAAGTGTGTTTAATGTACAGTTTAATATCTTTTATTAGGATATACATACAATGTATGTGTATACTGCCTTTAATGGTCAGATAATATATTCCCATGCATTCTATGCAGATAAATTTGTGAAAACAAATTATAAATGATCTCTGGTACATATAATTGCATCTGGTTCATTAATGTTTTACATTTTTGAAAGGTAAACAAGAATTGATTACACTTTTTATGGATACACATAAAGTGGTGACACTTTTGAAATGTACACCAGAGTTGATGACACTTTTGAAGGGTACACAAAACTTGAACTTGTCGCAGAAATAGCTCTACCGAGCTAATGTTTGTATGTTTAGGGTATGCGACGTTAAATAAATATTCTTGTATCTTGTATGACACTTTTGAAAGGTACACAAGAATTCAGGCATCGATAATGCTCATGCTAATTTGAATTCCATTTTTGGACAATGCATATTTACAGATTTTTTAATGAAGCTCTTTTGCAAAAAAAATGAAAACATAGCTTATCTCCTTAACTCTAACACAGCGACAGTTCATGTCAAATACACCCAATACAAAGCATAGGAGCTTAATAATATATCATTAGTTACTGTGTTTTACTGTCTCCAGTTCTATAAAATTAAGGAGTGCTACCTTGTACAGATTTGTCACGTTGACCTTACACTATTTTACTGAAATCCTCAGGTAAATGTGTGAGATGTTGCTTGTTAATTAAACTAGACCAGTGATTAATTAGCCTAGGTACACCCTGATATTTACCTGGTATTTCGATCACAGAGGGAAACATTTTTGAGCAGTGTAATTTTTTCTCAGTAACCTTAGACTGTATCACCCCCCATATTAACCCTCCTTTAACTCATCCATCCCTGAAATTTCATAATGAACTATTCAAACCTTTAAATGGGAAGAGTTCAAATGTGTCTGCAGGGGTGAATGAGTTAACCAGCTAAATCTACATAGAACTGTATGCAATGGTACATAAATGTAACTGGAAAACTGGGGCTGGTTGTTACATGTAGAAAATTTAAAAGATAATCAATTCAGCCATAAGCCTATGTGGTTAGGTCTATAGAGTGTTTGAAACTATTTGTACCCCACTGTTCTGGTTGGTAGGGGTTTCAACTCCCCACATTGGAGGTTACTTGTGTCAAGAGTTTTTAACAGTGCCTTAACAACTAGTGACAGCTAGCTATATTGTTTATCCTGGCGCAGCTTTTGTTAAATGTATCAACTGTCTTTGTCAAATAGTGCTGTATGTTTTATATGAAAGTGAAGAGTTATTGTAGAAAAACTCTTAAACTCATCATTCACCCCTGAACTTTAATAATGAACTATTCCAGCCTTTTAATTGGAAGAGTTCAAATGTGTCTTTCAGGGGTGAGTGAGTTAAAAGAACATCACTGTTCTTTTGAAAAAAGATAGTGACATTTTCTTTAAAACAATGAAGTAAAACCTGGTCTTCAATCTTACATGGGATTATTAAGTACAAAGTTTAGACAGGTACATGTCACTGGCTTTCATCGTGTAATATAGCCGCTTGATTTTATTTGTATTGAAGGAAATGAAAGGAAATGACTTGACAAAAATCATGTCTGCTCTGAAGGATGTCTCACACACATCGGAGGAACCCAAGGTGCCCGTGGCGGACCAGGCTAGTGCCTGGGACGACCGCATCTGTGAAATTTTAGATATGTTAAGGTAATGTATTTAAGAAATATCTAGGATTATTTCTAATGTGTGCACTTCACATAGATCCGCGAAAACAATTTATGCACAAAAGTGCACACTCTTTTTTTCCGGTATATACTGTATAATCCCAAAAATAATCATGGTTATCCCTTATAATTTAATTTTAAAAGACAGACATCACTTTATTAGTTCATAAGTAATGAATATAAATTTTATTCATTTCTGACAAAAACAAAATAGTTATGCTAAAACTCAACATTGCACAGTAATTTCATTGCCAAGCATCTTCAAACAATGAGAAGTTAAAATCACAAATACCACGCCAAACATTGCGGTACGTATACAGCATCATCACTTATTGTGTTGTCTGTTATTTAGGTTATACAATATAACCTGTCAAAAGTCTACCATTGGAGAAATAGCGAACATATTGAATTGATATACCAACAATTCAGTCGTAGCTTCTTCCGTGAAAGTCTGTAGAAAATTTTGAGATTATTTTAATTTTACATTACACCTATGCATGTTTAGATACACCTGTTGTGATTATTGGCACTAATTATTTTTTATTAAAAAACCATGACATTGTGTCACGTGATGTCGAAGTAGGTAAAATTACACATACTGTATTAAAATCAAATTATTCGAGGAATTTTTTAACACTGCTTAGTAGTTTTCTAGTTACCATATTTATCCTGCAATAAGCCCAGGGGACCAACACATAGCTCAAGACTCAAATTGATTGATTGATTGATTGATTGATTGATTGATTGATTGATTGATTGAACGTCTGCTTAGTAGTTCGGTTATAAAGAGACTCAAATTAGAGAGGGGAGCTTTTTATAGGACAACTTAATATAATTTCAAAGCATTTCTACTGAACTGCAATAGATATATGGGTGGGCTTATTACCAGGCATGGGCTTATTTCAGGAAACATAATGGGTTAGAAACATAACAGGTTAGAAACTATCAGGTAATTCTTCAAATGAAGGATTTCTCTTTGGGATTATTTTTAAGTAGTAAATGTTATGTTTTTTTGTTTATATTGTATAGTAACAAAAATATTTGTTTGTTTGTATTGACAGTGGAAATGACAATGTCAACAAGCCTGACTTTCAGGATCAGCTGCTGGATTTGTACATGTTCTATTACCTCAGGATGACTGACCTGCCTGTGGAATATAACATGGCCCTAAAGAGAGTTATGTTCAAAATACAGGAATTCTACAGAGACAATTATGACACCAATCCATACAAGGTAAGACAATTGTAGTATGGTAAGAAAATAGATCTAGCCTATATAGCTCTGACAGGAACCCATACAAAATTAATTCAGACATATTTGAAGTATGTACACAATAGGTTTAGCCCACAAAGAGGGCTTTGACGAGAATCCATACAGGATAATTAAGATATTTATAGTATACACAGAATACCTTTAGATTTAGCCTACAGATTGGGTTACAAGAATCCATACAGGATAATTGAGATATTTATAGTATACACAGAATACCTTTAGATTTAGCCTACAGAGTGGGTTACAAGAATCCATACAGGATAATTAAGATATTAATAGAATGTACAAATAAGCTAGGTTTCGCCTACAGCGTGGGTTTTGACAGAAACCCATACAGGATAATTAAGATATTCATAGTACATGTTGTATACACAGAACAGATTTAGCCTACAGAGTGGGCTACCAGAATTCATACAGGATAATTGAAATATTTATAGAATACACAAAATACTTTTAGATTTAGCCCACAGAGTGGATTACAAAAATTCACACAGGATAATTAATATATTTATAGTACATGTTGTATAAACAGCTCTGCTTTGAGATGCTTATATCATTTCATGCAATATTCCACCATATATGGGGGCTGTGGTAGCCAAGTGGTTAAGGCGTCCTACATTCTGCTACCACTAGTCCTCGACCACTGGGTAGTGGGTTTGGAGGCCTACGTTGGGCAGTCGCCAGGTACTGGCCGTAGGTCGATGGTTTTTCCCCGGGAACTCCGGGTTTCCTCCACCATCAAAACCTGGCATGTCCTTAAACAACCATAGCTTTTAATAGAATGTAAAACATAAACCTCCATATATGAGCACACCTCAGAGCCTGATGTGAAGTCCCTGAATTTGTTCGTTTTTGTTGAAAACTACAGCTAACATCAAATTGAATTTTATTTACTTCATTAACGTAAATGGCAGTAAATGTAGTGCCTTTTATGTACCTGGTAATTCAAAACAAATATATATATATATTTTCTAGGCACTGAAGAATAAAGACATTCTTCAAAAGCACATGAAAACTTTACAAGGAGTGATTGTTAATGACAAGTTTGGGAGAAGCGAACACCAACTGGACATGACAAATAACATCATGAAGCTCCTACTCGGCAGCATTAGGTACGAAATCACACAGGAAATCTGTGTTAATATACCCCTCTCTTCACATCCTCGATATCCAGAGGTTACGCTCACTCACGCTCTCTGCACCCCTGGAATATGTCATAGCATATTTGAAGGCACAAAGATAGCTGTTTGATAGGTCGCAGGTAAAAAAAAAGTGACCAATCGCTAGGCTGATACCTGGCCTTTAAAGATTACAAAGGAGCAACACCCATGGCCAACTTCAAAGCCAGTCAATGTTTACCGCTACGTGACAGTGAGATTATTTTGATATATATAAAAGGATTAAAATAATCTTCTTGTCTCATCAACAACGTGAAGCACACGCGTACTGAGCCTTCAGTTTTGCTATGACATATTCCAGGGGTGTAGAGAGGGAAGATAAGCAAAGCCCCTGGATATGGAGGATGCTCACTTTAATGACACAAAAACAATTATAAGTAATATATATGTACATAAAATGTAATGTGGACAAAGATCACAGCAAGGGATTATATTATCCCTTGGGGGGCCACGGTGGGCAAGTGGTTAAGGTGTCTGATATTCTGCTACCACTAGCCCTCCACCACTGGGTCGTGGGTTTCAGGTCTATGTGGGGCAGTCGCAAGGTATTGGCCGTAGGTCGATGGTTTTTCCCCGGACAGGTGTCCTATAAAATTTCCATCCCCGTGAAATACTCATCCGGATGGATATTTTATGCATAAAATACTCATCCGGATGAATATTTAATGCATTAAATACTCATCCCCCCCATAAAATATTCATCCCCCCTAAAAATTATCTTCTTTTTTTTACACAAATACAAACTTTATAGCATTATTACATCATGTTACCTGTAATACATGGTTCCTGTATGTCTATCCAGGTAATTATAATACACAGGGTGTCACCTGTGTGGGGACTGGGACCCTGGGGGCTTATCAATACAGGTGAGAGATAGGTGACACTGCATGGTGACCAGCACACAGGTGTGGCTCAGCTTTACACAGGAA